CGGACCTCGCACCCTGTCCAGCTCAGACGGCCCCGGTGCGGGGTCGGTGGCCTCAGGGCGAAGGCTGTGTTGAGCCCCCTGTTCTGTGTTGGTGTCCCATGTATCGGTGCCCAGTGGGGCTGAGGCCCCCACAGTGGACATGACGATAGGAAATGACCCCTAAGAATGGAAGGGACTCCCCCAGTGTGCTGTGCCCTGATCATCACACCAATGAGAACTCCCTCTGCTTTAAGAGTGAGCCTGTCTCGGGCTCAGCAGCCTTGTCCAGTGGCCAATGGGGCCGCCCCGGCCACTCCCTTGGCCCCACGGACGATCGCTGGCCCGGGGCCAAGCCACAGGGCAGTGGCCACACACCGCGCCAGCTGCGCCTGCGCAGCTGTGATTCAGCGTTGGTGAGATGGTCACCACTCGCATATGGTTAATGCCCCTGCCTCGCACAGTGACAGGCTCTTCTCGTGACGAGAACTGCTAAGGCCCACCCTCCCAGCGGCTCTCACACGTGCAGCACGGCACGGTTGACTGTTGTCACCTCGCTGCCTGTGACACCCCCGGAACTCACTCGGTTCACAGTGGGGCGTGCTGCCTGTGGCCCCTCGCCCCTCCCTCACCCGGACCCCGGCAGCCACCGCCCCGCCCTCTGGGTCGGGGAACTCGCACTGCCGTGGTCACGGCTGGTTTCCCTCCCGTGTACAGGGAGACCCCGCCTTTGCCCACCTCGTTTCCTGGACCCTGATGCCCTCTGGGTCTGTCCACGCTGGCACAGGCAGCAGAGTTCCCTTCTCTACGGCCGCATAAGTGTCATCGGGCGTGTGTGCCGCCTCTTGGTCACTCACTGGTCTGTCGAGACACCGGGGTGGTGGTGCCCTGGCCGTCGCCAGCCAGCAGTGGGGTTGCTGGGCCATGTGGCCGTTTCTTTTTTGGGGACCCTGGACCCCGCCTCCCACGGCGGCTGCAGCAGTTTGCACTCCTCCTGACAGGGCACGAGGGCCCCCCTTCTCCACATCCCCGCCCCCCGCCCGCACGTCTGTCTCTGGTCTGTGTGACGGGAGCCGCTTTTGCAGGGGCGGGGCAGTGTCTCCCTGTGGTTGACTCGCCTTTCTGACGATCAGTGATGCTGAGCATATCGTCACGCACCTGGTTGGCCATCTGTGTGTCCTCTTTGGAAAAAATGTCTATTCAGGTCCTCTGCCCTTTTTCTAGAAAATTGGATTTTTTTTTTTGCCATTGGGTTAGGGGTTCTTCATACATCTTGGATATTAAGCCCTTCTCAGACACGGGATTACAGATGTTTCCTCCCAGGCGGTAGGTGCCGTTGCCACCTTGCCGACGCGTCCCTTTGCCCTGCAGAAGCTTTGGTTTGACACAGTCCCACCTGTTCAGTTTTGCTTTCGGTGTCAAAGCCAAAAATGCACTGCCAAGGTCAATGTCAAGAAGCACACTGGTCCCTCGTTTCCTTCTAGAAGTTTTCCAGTTTCAACTCTGATCCATGGGAGATAGCTTGGTGCTGGCGAAGATGGGGCCCCCTGTACGTTACCTCGCGTGTGGCTGTACAGCCCCCCCCACACCGGCACGGAACAGCATGTCCTCCCCACCCCTGTTGCATGTTCTCGGCCCCTTTGCCACTGAGTGGCTGAGGCGGACACGTGGGTTGACCCTGGGCTCCCCGGTCCGCCCCACGGCTCTGCGCGTCTGTCTTCCAAGCACCACGCTGCCTCGACCGCGGCTTCCTGTTGTCCTTTGAATTTGCGGGTGTGTCCAGCTTTGCTCTTTCTCAAGAGACTTTGGCCTCTCAGGATGCTCTGTAGTTTAACACAACTTTAGCATTGTTCTGTGTCTGTGGGGAACGGCCATTGTTTTTCCTCTTTCTGTGAGAAAATGTCATTGGAATTTTTTCTTAATCCTCAACCGAGGACCCATTTATTGATCTGAGAGAGGAAAGGGGAGAGAGAGGCATCGGTCCACCGCCTCCCTCACACATCCTGGCCAGGAGTCGAACCCGCAACCTTCTGGTGTGTGGGGTGACGCTCCAACCACCCGCAGGGCGTCATTGAAACTCTGAGGGGATTGCATTGAGTCTACAGGTTGCTTTGGATAGTGTGGCATTTTAAGAGTATTAATTCTTCCAGTCCGTGAGCACAGAATACCTCTATTTGTGTGTTCACTTTTTTTCCGCAGTGTCTCGCAGTTTTCAGCGTGCGGGTCTTTCGCCTCCTTGGCGTTTATTCCCAGGTGTTTCATCTTCTTCGGTGCAACTGTAAACAAGAGGGTTCGCTCCGCTCCTTCTGCTGGCTCACGCGTGTGTGGGGACGCAGCAGGGGTCTGCACGGTGACGTCCTTTGCTGCGTCTGTTAGCTAGTCCTTGCGAGCTTCCGCGGGGTCTCCTGTAGGTGACACCGTAAAGGGTGCGTTGTAGCGTCCTTTCCAACGTGGTGCCCGTGGGACAGCCTGAGCTCAGTGGTCACGAGAGCTGCTCGCTGGCGGCAGCTCCTCCCACTTCCCCGAGTGAGGAAACGAGGCTGGAGGGGCTCCCGGCACTCCGCTCCGTTCACCACCCCCCCCAGCTCTGGCTCCACAGCAGGCCTCCGAGTCAGGGACCCCAGGATGTGAGCAGAGGAGGAGGTGGGGCCTCCTCCCTCCAGGACTCCTACGGTGGTGGGGGTACCTGCCCAGTCCAAGTCCATGGATCCTGAGGGACAGGAGGCCACCCAGAGTGGGGGGGTGTCCTCGTGCGTCAATGGGGCAAATCTTGGGCAGGTTCGGCACGTGCCAGGCCCCCCACCCCCAGGTCACTACTGCCCTCCCCCTTCCCTGCACCCCCCCACCCCCGCCGTCATTGTCATCGTTGAGCTTGTGACTACTGTTCTTACATGGCAGCCAGCGACAAGCGCCCTGCCTGGGGCAGCTTTGACACACAGACGAGACCTTAGTTTCCAGAGCTGGGCGTGGGTTCGGAGCCCAGGGGCCGTCCGGGGCCGTCTTCCTGGGGGACCTGAGCCCCCGAGGCTGTGCGGGCCAACCCCTCCCCTGCTCTGCCTCTCCCCAGCCCGGTTTCAGGTCCTGCCACTGCGGTTCTCCCAGGGCCTGGACGCCTACAACCCCAACACCCCCGAGTGGAGAGAGGAGGTTGGCCAGCTGGTCACGCAGCTCATCGCCAAGGTACCCCCACTCTACCAGTGCCACAGCTTTCCTAGCACCTGTGGGTGCCTAAGCAAAGCTGAGGGACCCCAGGGCCCCAGGGCAGGCAGGGTGGGTGTGGCCACCGCTCAGTCCCACGAATCCAGGCTTCAGCCCGGCTGGTGGGTGGCTGCCATGGCTCGGGAGGGCAGGAGGCTGGATGCCACCTGCAGGGCGGGCACAGGCCTGCACCTGCCCAGCACATCTAGTGAGCGCCAGCTGTGTGCACAAGACACAGCCGCTGTTCTGCCCTCCAGCGGCCCAGAACCTCCTTAAAGCAATTTTCTCTCCTGAGCCAGGCCCTGGGTCTGTGGATCCTGGGGGACAGGTGGACACCCCGTGGGACGCTCCCGCCCTTCGGCCCCATGAGGAGAGACTGCCCCCTAGGGTCACCCACAGCCGTCACAGGCTGAGACCCACTCTGACCACACCTCCTCTCGGCCAGTTAACAAAACCGGGCATATTGTCCCGGGCACTGAAGGATGCATAGGAGTTTGCCAGGTGGACGTGCTTAGCCTAGGACTTCCAGGAGGCAGAGGGGCTGCATGAGCTGAGTGTGGTGGGTTTGGGAGGATGTGAGCCAGGGAGGGGCTGCTCCCTGTGGCCACAGGGTGAGGAGCGGCCAGGAGGGTGTGGCCTGGCCGAGTGGAGGCCCGTGTGGGAGGCCCAGGCCGGAGGGACCTGGAGGGGGCTGTAGGCAGTGGTGCAGGGTCGGGAACAGTGAGCAGGACCGATGGCCGGGCCTTGGACAGGCCACGAAGCAGGGGTGCTCCCAGGGGCTCTGCAGCGCCCCGTCCTTGTCCCGCAGGAGACGGGTGTCGCTGAGCAGCTGCTGTTGACCGTGGTCAGGCCGGGGCTGCCCACTGTGGCCGACCTGTACGTGCTGCCGCCCCCGCCGAAGCAGAGCCTCGCACAGGACCAGGTAGCTGCCACAGCCCCATGGCGGGTTTGGTGACAGCTAGTGGCTCACCGTCCCCGCGAGTCACAGTTGACTGGGGCGTGGGCCCTCCTCCACCCGTGTCTGCCCCTCTGGGCCCCACGTGGGCTCCCAGGTGGGGTGGGAGCACCAGGCAGGACCACCTACCCGGGCAGAGGGGGAGCCTCAGGGACAGCCTGCCTGCACCCACCATCCGGGCGACAACGTGGACGCCTGCCCGGCCCCGGAGGCCCCGACGCACCCCTCTCTTTGCAGATGCTCACCCCCATCCAGCAGGCGCTGAGTGCGCGGAAGGTCAGCTTCCTCCTGCGGGCCGGGGTCCAGGTCCTGGTGGCCGTGAGGGAGGTGGACACGGGTGAGTCCAGGAGCCACCCCGGCCTAGCCTGGCCTGGGCTCCCCTGCTGGGATGGGGGGGTGTCCAGGCCCCTCCAATGACACCGTTACTGGGGACAGGAGCCTCAGCTGCCCGAGGGCCACCCCTGCCTGGCACTCGCCTCCAGTGAAAACAGGCCCAGACCCGGGGTCCAAGCTCCCCTCCCCCAAGGCCACGGGGGCACTGACTCTAAGGCCCTCTGCTCCCAACTCTGCTGTGCGACCGTCCTCTCCAGTCCCATGTGTCTGGTCCCCTTGTGGGCCAGGATCTTCAGAAGCCGGAGAACGTCTCCGCGCTCCAGAAAGACGGGCTGGCAGGCGGTTCCCGCGCAGCACAGACGTGGGCCGAGGGGCTGTCTGCGTCCACAGAGGGAGGCCAGGCGCACCTTTACCCAGAGGGGCCGGGGGGGCCCCTCGCCACTTGGGACGCCCAGCACCTGCACGGGAACACCTGCCCTTCTGGGGCGGCCGGGCCGGGCGCTGCCCGAGCTGGCCACTGATGGCAGCTCGGTCGCAGGTGCTCTGCAGCTGGCGGAGAGCGGCAGCTACTGGGTGGCGGCGATCCTCCTTGTCACCGGGGTGTCTGCGGTAGGAGCCTTCATCCTCTACAAGTGCAAAAGGCAAGGCCACCCCCCTCAGCAGGGGGGAACCAGACCCTGCGGGGGGGTGGGTTTCGAGGGCCCGTGGTGGGCTGCAGTGGGGTGGTTGGGGTGTTGGCTCTCACTTCCCTCTGGCGCCCCGCCGTTCACAGCCCAGGAGCTTCTAGTCCTACCCCTCTGCTGTGCACCCTGCCCCCGAGAAGAACCCAGTGTCCAAGTGGCCACAGCTGTGCCTGGGGCCCCAGAGCTACAGGGCAGGGGTGGGGGGCACAGGGCCAACCGGTGGCCCCTCCAGCGTCAGCCTCAGGCTCCAGGGTACAGAGGGGGGAGGGCTGCACAGAGCCCCTGGTGGGAGGGGCAGGGCCTTGTGCTGGGGCTGCATGGGGCTCGTGAACCTGAGCTCACCTGGATTCTGGACCTCGGGCCTCTCCGAGTAGAGTGACCGAGAAGTGTTACCAGACTCGTTTCCTGCAAAAGGCAGCCTTGAGACTCCACACCCTGTTCCTCCTGTCCCGTGGGCTCAGCTCCAGTGGCCTTGGTTGACCTGGTCACAGTCACCCTTGGAGTCAGTGCCGGGTTGCTGCTCCCCTTCGTTTTGTGCTCAGAAGCTGCGGGTCCCTCCCTCCAGCCCTACCATCCCGCCCATCCCGTCCAGACCTCTCAGCTGTCTTCCCTGCACGTGCGGTCCTGAGAGCAGTAACGCGTGCACCCCTCGTCCGAGTGGACGCTGGTCCAGGTGCCGGGACGCAGTGCGGCCTGGGCAGAGGGGCCTCCTCGCTCTCGGAGCTGCCTTCTGGCTGAGAGCACAACTCACAGCTCCTCTGTCACTTGCCTGGTGATTAAAAGGGCAGCCTGAGGTGTTCTGTGTAACAGGGACCCGAGCTGGTCCGGGAAATCTGGGAGGCCTTCCCTGAGGAGGTGATTTCCGAGTGGGATCCTGCAGGATGAGTAGGACTTTGCTGAGGAAAGAAGCTGGAACAGTGGCCAAGCTGTTACCTTTCCTGATTTCCGAACACGTGCCAGTGCCAACTTCCAGACAGTCCCCCTTGTGGCCCCACAGGCACCTCAAATTCAAATAGAAGCCAGGTTCTTTCCCTACAAAGCTCCTCCTGGGAGGAGGACATGGTCCACTGCCTGGCACACTGAGGGCTCATGACTGAGTTCATCATGCCCTGGGAGGTGGAAGGGTTGCCATGGAAACAGTGGAACACAGTCCTGGGGAGCAGTGTCCTCCCCCAGAGTGCACCCTGGGAACAGGGAGAGCGGGGCTGCGCTCCTGGCTCTGCCTGGCGTGGGAGCCTCAGCCAGGACGTCCGGGAGGCCTGCTCCCGTGGGTGCCGCTGGCAGAGCGGTCCACGGGCTGGGTAACCCCACCGCATGGCACACAGCCCAGGAGGCTTGGGGTTCCCAGCCCCCGAAGACTGAAGTCTCATTCTCACTACGAGTCGCTGGGGGTGTGGCACGCCCTCCTTACTCAGGCCCTGGAATGAGGGCGGGGCTGTTTCCAGCAAGGCTGGTGCTGTGCCAGGAGAGAACTATTTTGTTCAGGACGGACTCAGGTCCCCGTGTCAGTGTACCAGCCAGGAGGTGACACGCCACCTGTGGCTGCCCTCAGTGGACAGAACCGGTCACAGGACCCACCCCACCCCGGGGTGGGTCTGGGGAGCAGCCTCTGAGAAAGCCGGCTGGCTCTCTGAGCCTTGGTGCCCAAGCCAGGCCCAGCTGGGCCAGGGCTCTGCCCAGGCTGTCCTCTCCCTGTGTCCCTGGAGGGGACAGGGAAGGGAGGACGGCACAGCTGTGGAACCGGGGCTGGGCTCAGTGAGCATTTCTCAGCGCCGGCAGGCATCACGTGTCCCTGCCCGCCCAGCCGGAGCTCAGGACGCTGCTGTCCCAGAGTCAGCGGGCAGTGGGGTCACGAGAGAGTGAAATAATACCCTTGCCCTGTCCTCAGCCTCGTCACCAGGGAGACTGACAGTGAGCGCCCTGTGTGCTGCTTGAGCTCACAGGATGGAGGGCTTCCTGGAGGAGGTGGCTTGCAGCAGAGATGGGGCAGGAGATAAGACCTGGGAGCATGTCTGCCCCACACACGGATGGTGTGGGCCCTGCTGGGTGCTTCAAGGGGCCGGTGGCCCTGGGGGAGCCCTGAGCCCCCACTCTCCCTGTAGGAAGCGCCCTGGCAGGACTGTGTACGCCCAGATGCACAACGACAAGGAGCAGGAGATGACGAGCCCCATGAACCACAGCCAGGGCGTCCCGAGCGCCATCCAGGGCGAGGGTTTTGTGGACGATGATCTCGACACGCAGACTCTAGGTAATGCCTGCCCTGCAGACGCCCTGCAGACGCCCTGCCCACCTCCCGCGGGCCCCCCCTGCCAACAGTGTGGTGTGTCCCCGCCCTCTGATGAGGTGATGAGGCCCGTGGCGCTGGTTTCCAGGAGGAGGTGGGGCCTCCCCCCATCACCCCTCTACACTCGAAGCCCAGCCCCGGGACGCGACCAACTGCACGCTGTCGTTCAGTCTGCAGAGCGGCTTTGCTCAGTGACCCCCCAGCCCCTGGCCGGGTGCAGCGGGGAGAACCCGATCAAGCCACCAGCACTCGCCCCTCGGGGTGCCTCACCCTGCCAACTGCACGGCCTCTGGGTCTCCCGAGAGGTTGCCGTCTGCATCGGGAGGGGAAGCCTCTGGGAGCCCCGTCACTCCAGTGTCTGCCAGTGAACATGGCTGCCCCCACATCCCCTCCGACCCCCGAGCACCTGCCAGCAGCCCTCCTGTGGCTCGGGCCCCCTCGCTACGTGGTGACCGAGAGCCAGTGCGGCTGGACAGGCGGCTGCGTCCCCTTTCACGTCAGTCCCCTGCTGCCCCCAGTGTGTGCTGTCAGTGGAGGCAAAACACGGGTCCACGTTACAGCCCCTCCGGTCCACAGCGGGGAGCCCGAGGCTCTGGGCGATCGGTGGGCATGGTCACTGCGGCAGCCCCGGGGGGCAGAGCCCCTTCTGCACTGAGGGCATCGAGCTACGGGCAGCAGGGGCTGAACTCGGGCCCCACTCGGCCTCCCTGCCTGGTTCCTGGCCGTCCCTCCTCTCCCAGTGACGGCCCCCTCCTGGCAGTGCTGTGAGGGCCGGCCCACAGCCGCACATGACATGTCCCTGTCACCACTGTCAGGACTGTCCCCACCCCATGTGCTGCGTCCTCAGACTCTGAGAAGCTCCTTCTTCAGTGATGGAAGCTCAGCTCTGGGAGGGGAGCACTCCCCTGGGGGCGCAGCCAGCAGCGGCTGTCCCTGAATGCACCTCAGTGGGCCCCCCACATCCGGTGGCCCAGATGAGCCCCTGGCGGAGTGACAGTCTGCAGCGTCCCGGGACTCAGCGGTGACCAGTGCCTGGAGCCCTCGCCTGGGCCCAGCCGGCTCAGCGCTTCCCAGGCTTGCCCAAGGGCTGGCACCCGGCAACCTGTCACTTGACAAATGGCCAAAGCCAAGGGTCAAAGTGGCCACCCACTGTCCCTGAATCACCCAGCCAATAAGAGGTGGAGCCAGAGTCGAACCCAACTCAGCGGTTCCAAGGCCAATGGCCCGCCCCCACTGCAGTGGCCCCCAGGTGGCCACCCTGGGCCTGGAAAGGCCCCTCCGCCATGTCTCTACCCGCCCCCCGGGCAGGGGGTCCACACACCCTCTCACCCAGCCTGGGCCCCGCCTTCTGGCAGGTGGCCTTGCAGCTGATGTGACAGGTGGCTGCAGAGGCTGTGAGTGTCCCGGTGCATTTTCCTTTGCTGTCCCCACATTATCGACGGCAAAGCTGAGGCCGTGGAGGGTGACACTGACAAAGCCTCCCCCAGCAGTGAGGCGCAGGTCCCCTCTGGCCACCCAGCAGTGCCACAGGGCAGGGGGCTGGAGGCAGGGACAGCCCACCAGGAGCTGCTGTGGGTCCCACCCGGCCCAGGCCACACAGCTGTCCCTGCTCTCCGAATGTGGGCCCTGGGACCACCCCTGCGTCTCTGACATCACCATGCCCCCCTCTCCTGCCACCTCCCAGCCACGCCACACCAGCCCGCAGTACCCACCGCCCAGAGGGGGCACAGCCCCTCCTGCACCCCCTGCTGCCAATACTTGGTGCCAGGCAGGCCCTGCCGCAGGTCAGTGGGCGCTGCAGCAGGGGGCTGACTGTGGCCTTGCCCCTGGAGACCCGAGGGGCTCACTGCTGTGATGGCGCCCCCTTGGGCACTCCCTGGGACACGGGGACCCCACCACCTCCACACTGCACCCAGATACCACCCACGTGGCCGAAGGAACCGCCAGTGCCCAACACACGCTGGCGCCGAGGCCGGCCCTGTGTCCCACACGGCCCCACCTCCCACCCCCCTTGCCTGCTCCAGCCCAGGGGCCCCTGCTCACGGGCGGGCATCTCTGTCTCCTAGGGAGCCACTCCGGAGTGGTCCTCAGCGTCGACTCCCGAGAAATGCACAGCTACCTGGTGAGCTGATGCCCGTGCAGGCCGCACCCACGCAGTCTCCTCTCCATGGCTCCGTCCCGTGGGGGGCACAGTGCCACAGACGCGCCGGCGCCGGGGCCGGCATCCCCTCAGAGACCCACGGAGAAGCCACCTCCTCCAGCTGTCCCCGCACAAGGCGACAGACACCCCCGCCTCTGCTCAGTTCACGGGACGCACAGGGGGGCCTGCTGATGGCCACCCTTCCTGGACACCGGGCCCACGGCGCTGCCTGCTACCCCCACCCGACTCTGGGCACATCTCTGCCCCTGGACTGCAAGGCGCTGGCCTGGCTGCTCCACACCCTGTGGCCCCAGCTGAGGCCTGGCTTCTGGTGGCCAGGGTGGTCGCCCCTCGGACAGGGAGCTGAGGCTGCCTGGCCGCCCGCCCTCCCAGAACCACAGACACACTCCTTCCCTGCGCACCGGCACTGACACCGAGTCCCCTGTGCCCCGCCCCAGGAAGGCAGCTCCTGCCCGCACGCCCACCGGCCCTGCCGGTGTCCAGCCCTCCAGAATGCCCCCAGCCTGTGACCCAAACCCCCACCCTCCCACCTCCCCTCCTCTTTTCAGACTGCAGGTAATACACATACCTCTCCAGGTGGCCGTTGGAGGTTTGCTCTGCTTTCTGTCTTCGTGGCCAGCTGGTGGCCTGCAGGCGGCTGTCAGAGCCCTGTTCTGGGGCCCCGTCCCAGAGCGCCCGGGCTGCCTTCCCAGCACCCTCGCCACCGGCCCACACAGCAGGCCCTGGGCCCACACCTCTGCGGCGAGCCAGCAGAGACGCCAGGCTCCCTGCAGCCTCAGGGACCTGTGTGGAAGCCCAGGAGCCAGACAGGGTCAGGGAGCGGGCCGAGCATGCCCCTGGTGTGACGTGGAGAAGCCCAGGCCCCGAGAGGGGGTGACTGCCCCAGGTCACAACACAGACAGGAGCAGAGGGGCCCCAGGCCACAGCGGGATCCCACGTGTACACGTGCCCAGAATCAGGGACGTTGCCTCAGGCTGCGTGTGTGAGCGTGTGGGGGAATCTCGCCTTTTGCCTTGAAGCCAGAGTCATCCCCCCGCCATTCCCCTCCCAGTCTCCCCACCCCCAGGCAGGGCGCTCTCTGGCGGCTTGGCCGGGCGAGTCCACAATGGAGCCCACAGGAGCAGGAGGCCTGGGGGGGTGCAGCCACACACCTGGAACAGCCTGCCGATGGAGTGGGGGGGTCCCTCCAGTCCAGTGCCATGTCCCAAGTGGGGACTCTGAGGCCACAGGGAGGGTGGGCCCCCGTGGGTCCGGCCCCCGTGGGTCCCTTCCCCACCAGCCTGTGCTCCCAGGCACCTTTTCCAAGTGTCCTCCCTCCACGGACACAGGCAGGGCCCAGTGAGAACGATGGGAGAAGAGGCTGGGCTGGACCTTTGCTGCAAACCCCTTCCCTGCACAGCCCACTCGTGGTCCCCAGACACCTTAGGGAGCCCTGTGTCCCACCGGCCACCCCACCTGCCTGTCCTGTGAGCATCAGACTGTGTCCAGGCCCAAGGTCAAGGTCAGCATGGAGTCCCTGGACACAGTGCCCTTTCCCCAGCTCACGCACAGGGGCCTGGAGGCATGACCACTCGGGCCTCTGACCCCTTTGCTCATGCTCCTTGCCGTCTGGGTGGGGTATCCCCTCATCATTTTCCTTGAATTCCGTGTCACCATCTCCATTGAGTGTCATGGGTGTGTGGGCCCAGGAACCCGGAGGAAGGAGGCGCCCGGCGGCCTCACACGCTCTGCCCCAACCCACACAGACGGGTGTGCAGGTCTGCGCGTCCTGGGAGCACACTCGGGGCTCTCTGTAGCCAGCTCTCACGGGCCCGTGGGCCGGGGGCCACGCCGTCCTTGGTTTATGCACATGACAGACGTGATAGGGTCTTTTTAATTTTTCCTTTTACAGTCAATAAATCACTTGTAATGCTTTTAACAAAGACTGAGTGTGACTGGCGTCGGCCCCATTACGAATCTGTAGCACGGTGTTCCCCCAGAGGTGCGCCCTGCCCTTAACCCTCTTGGTCACTGTGTCAGGACACACGGCCAGCAAAGCAGGAATGGCCCGGGCAGCTGTCAGACCACTCCCAGAGCACGCCCGCTCCCTGCTCTGGAGGGTGGCAGCCCCCCCTCCCCGGCATCATCCCGCCAGCAGGGGGTGCAGCCCCACAGCAAGCCCCCAGAACCCGGAAGTGGGGCGCTCCCTCCACCGCAGTGCCACCAACACCTCGTTAGACCAGGCCCGGTGACTGAGGGATGGACAGAAAACCAAGAGCACGTCCCAGTCACCTCCCAACATGGACAGACCCCCCCAAATGGTCTGCGGAGATGATGGCCTCAGTGTCGCTGAGCCCCTCCTCTCGGACGAGGGCCACTGCCCAGCCATTGCCCATGCCCCTTTCAACAGCACCCAGCCCAGCTTCCTTGAATCCTCCGCACGGCCCACCCAAAACCAGGCCTTCTCAGCACCCCAGAACTGCCCCCCCCGCCCCCAGCCCCTAGGGCATGTGCTCTGGCTCCGTATCAGCACTGACCCGACTGCCAGCCCCAGGTGTGGCCCAGGGCCCAGGGCAGCACTGTCTCTCCCTGGGGAGGGTCACCAGCCTGCTCAGTGACCAGCCCGCAGGAAAGCCCCACCCACACTCCGTTCCCATGAAAGGGGTAACCCTGCCTGTGTGCTGAAGGTCTCTGGCAGCTGAACCCGATTTCGCTGGGGGTCAAAACGTCCCGAGCCTCAGGCTGCTGGAATGAAGGCCCAGCACTGCCGTCCCCCACGGACCTGGGTGGCCAGGGCTCCGCACAACAGCTCCCACTCTCCCCTGGTGATCCCTCTGCCCGCTGAGCTTGGTAGGACCCCGTGGGCGGCGAGCTCAGCCTGGCCAGCTCCCGGGATGCAGGTGGGCCCGCTGGGGCGTTCCCGCCAGGTGTGATAGGTTGTGAATCACCCACAGGGCGGCCTGGCAGGCAGACGGCACCTGCAGGGGTTCTGGGCCACGGGGGGGCCACGGGGCGGCACGGGGCGACCCAGGGCAGGCAGGATTATGGGTGTCACCTGTGGCTGGCCTGGTTCCGGCCCCAATGCAGGGCTCTGGGAGGGGCCCTCACACCGAGAGCCAGTGGAGGAGGGAACACGGGGATGGGAGGCCACTGTGAGGAGGACAGCTGCCAGTCATTATAACCCTCGGCCCCGTCCAGTGTGGGCACTCGTCACACGGGCCCACCTACCATGCGGGCACCAACCCCACAGGATGGGGGCCCCACCCCCACCCCCTCACCATCAAGGGCGGCCAGGCGCACAGGATGGGGGCTGGGAGGGGCAGCCAGGGCAGGTGTGTGAGCACAGACGCCCTCTGGGAATGGGTGAAGGTCATCACGGAAAAGGAGGAACTAGTGTGCTTAATGATGCTTTTTATAATGTTCTCGTGACTTGGAGAATTAGGGCAGTAGCCAGGTGCAGGTGAGGCTGAGGGCCAGTGGTGTGTGGGAGGGGTGGGAATGAGCAGAGAGGAGCAGGTGCAGAGGGGGGTGACGAGGCAGAGTCCCAAGGGTGAGCGGGGACCAAGCATAGGACGGGGCAGGCGGCCACAGAAGCACCTGGGTTGGGAGCTGGGTGAGGAGGGAGCCGGGGCTCGGGGAGACAGGGGCAGGCCTGGCATGGTCGTCTCGTCAGAAGCAAAAGGAGGCGAGTTGGCCGAGGAGGCTGGTAAAATTGCTGGCAGTTGGAGGCCCCAGTGGGGGACCTGGGTCCCTGCAGCACAGGGAGGACTTTGGTGAGGGTCCGCTCTGCTCACCCGAGTTCCACTGCTCAGGTGGGGGGGGGGGTCTGTGGGAGGCCTCAGGGCACAGAGCAGCTGCAGCAGCTCCAGACTCCGAGTCTTTTCATAAAGTCTGGGGCCCTGACCAGGCCACATGGCTGCCCCAGAAGGATGAAACTCCCTGAGTCAGTCTTGAGTCACCTGCTCTTCACCCTCTCTCCAAACCAGAAGGGGGCACCCCATGTCCCTGCACTGGGGACAGAGAACAACCACAGAATGCTGCAGAGGATGCAGAGGTCAAGGGTGGGCCTGCAGCCCCCATCTCAGACCGTGGGTTCAGTTCTGGTGGTGCACACGGCCACGGCCCACTAGGTCCCCGGGACCTGTCTGGGGGATGCGTGTGCCACGCTGCCTGCGAGGCGGGTGCAGGGTAGGGTTCCATCGGCCGCAGACCCGGTGAACAGGGCACACAGCCCCGGAGAGCACTGCGTCTGCAGGGGGCGCTCCTCACCCAAGGGCGAGTAATGGGAAAAAGACAGCGGCGAGCCTGGGGCTGGAAAAATGGTCCTTCCTGTCTGCAACAGGGGAGGGCTGCCCTGTGCGGTTGGGGAAGAGGCATGTCTTGTGGACAAGAGCTTGCTGGACTCCTGGGAGAATTCTAGAAAATAGATGTGTTGTTTTGATGTGACGTGCCGGCAAACGTGCCGTCTTTGAAACAGGACAAGTCCACAGCAGAGCGGGGTGCAGGCGCCACCCACTGGTGCCAGGTGAGGGGGAGTGGAAACACAGGAGCCGAGTTCACATTCGCCCTCTGAGGACACGTGACCTCGCTCTAACAGCAACAGGTGTGAGAGGCAGTGGGCCTGGGGACCTGACCGCCACTCAGGGCCTGATGACCAGGCCTGCCAGCGACGGGCAGAGGTCGACTGCAGGGGGTTTCTGAGCGTGGACGGTGAGGAACAGAAGGCCCCGCGAGCTTCCTGACAGAGCAAACAGGGAAACACGGTGGGGCTGAGGCCCCGCTGGGGCTCAAGGCAGGAGGACAAAGCAGAAGGAAGATGGCGGAGACTCGCCAGGACGTCTGAGATCCTCGCGGGCACAGGAAGCAGAAGAACATGGAGACATGCACCCCATCCAGGAAATGAGAAACTCAGGTCTCCTCAGCCAAGGGCTGTTCGACACCAGTGGGCCGCCACAGCGTCGGGACGCACGCTGTACAGCTGCTGCTGGGAATCACCGCCTCGGGGGTTCAGTGAGCTGGCCACCCTCACCCCCCTGCCCCTGGTCTTGTCAGGACCACCAGCCCCTCCCGAGCAGCCCCCCGAGCTGCTCCCCGAGGCCTGGGCCTGTGCACAGCCAGTCCCCCAACCCCAGCATTTCTCTCCGTGCCCCTCCTGACTGCTCTCCAGCTGCCCCAGGAGGACCCTGCTGGTGGCAGTGGTCAGAGCCCCCGCTCCCCTGGGTGGGCAGCACCAGCCAGGACAGACATCAGGGAGGCTCCGGGGCAGGTCTGCACAGCCCTAGAAGGACTCGTGGGAGGACCCAGTGCCACTGTGGGTGGGTGGTGGCTGCAGCTCAACCAGAGGGCTCTGAGGTGGGCAGAGAGGGCCAGCGGAAAGGCTCTGCTGGCCACTGCCTGGCCGGTCGGGTGGACCCTGGGCTGGGTGGGGGCAAGACCTGAATGGGGTCTTCTGCCACTTGCAGCCCTGAGCACCTCACCAACACACTTCCCTTCAGCCTCAATGGCCCCGTGTGCCCCGCCCTCCACACTCTGCACCTCAGGACCTGGCAGGGGGGTCATTGAGGGCAGGGGACTTGGTGACTCTGGGTATGTCCCACTTACTCCTGCTTTTGTCACCACGGCCCCAGGGGCTCTCCAGGAGTCTGCGGCCTTCTCCCTCCTTGTGGACTTCTGCTCAAACACTGGACTCGTCTCAGATGCACCCCTGCACCCAGCGCCCCGCGGCCCCAGAGGCAGTGGCTCCTCCCTCCAGACCTGGGAGCCCAGACCGGCGGCGCTTGCAGGCTGTGCTGGGGCCACATACCCTCGGGCGCCAGCTGCCTGCGACTGGTCACGCTGCGGTCACACTGCGTCGTTCCCACATCCAGCGCCGGGTGCCAGGCAGGTGCACTGATGAGTCTTGAATTGAATATTTGACTCTGTGCACTAAAAACCACTTAACCCCCCTCAAAACCCCCACAACTATGGGTCTTTCCCAAAAGAGCCCTTTTGCTAATAGACACAAAGCACACTCCACCCCTCCCTCCCCCGACCACTTCCCACCACCCCTTCCACCCAGGGGCCTCTACGGTCAGTTCCAGAGACACCCGGGCACGTCTGCCCTGCCCGCCGTCACGCTGAGTCGGTCACGACATGGAGGCCGGGTCGGAGGGCAGAGTTTTATTGAGAACACGCACTCGAGTCGCGCCGCAGGCCGGCGCCCGTCGGGCCTAGCCGTGTGGGGCAGCCGCCAGGTCCGCAGGGAAGACGCCTGGGTGAGGCCACCGTGGGTGGGCGGAGACTGGGCGCCCCCACGGCTCCCTCCTTCTGGTACAGCCTTTCACTTGATGAATTAAATACGCCGAGAAGCAGTGAGAATATATTTACAGTCATTTAAAGTGGATACGACCAACATACGTGGTTAAACAAAATCTTCCCTGTTTCCTGCCTGCTTCTTTCAGAGAATTTGAAATATGACTTTAGTTTTTAAAAAATACAGTAAGGAAATAGTTACATTCTCACATAAAAGCGTTTCACAGTGGATGGCCGCAGCCGAGCAAGGCCGAGGACCTGTAATCTGAAAGTTGGTGTCAGAATCCAAACAGCCCTTCTCAGTAGAAAATAAAATACAAAGATCATCTTATTAAAAACACATCTGGTCCCTAAGAATTGTGATCAGATGTCCCCACAAGTGACAGGAAGGGCCCCGCACAGGTGAGGCCTCCGGGCCTGCGGCCCTGGCGGTGGCCGGCAGAGCCTGGGGGGACGGGCGTGTGTCCCAGGTGGGGGTGGCTCTGCTTCCCTGTGATGCTGTGTCCCGTGTGCACGACACGCAGGTTCCCGTCCACTTGTGGCCTGTCTCACACTGTCCCCCGTCGGGGAGGTAATGAGACAGCAGTAACAGCAGGGACAAAACGACAGTCACCTTCTTTAAAACTGCCCTGATTTGAAACCCTCTTTCCCATCACACATCACTGCAGAACAAACAGGAAGGCAAGGGTCGCAAGTTCACACTCCGAGGGGCGCCCTGGCGGGGACGCAGGTCGCAGAGCTTGGGACAGGCTGCTCTCAGGACCCCCAGGCTGGACCGGGGGGGCGCCTGTCATGTGACCTGAACAAACAGAAGACAATGGCTGCTGAGCCGGGTCCCCCACAGCCTGTTGGTGGTGAACAGTCTTCTGGGAAGACAGGATGTGACCACAGCGAGGGAGTCCTGCCCCCAGTGGTCCCTGGGAACCGGCAGGCAAGTGTCAGCTGTGGCCCCGACCAAGCCAGCCCACAGCCCCTCCTGGGCGGTCCCCAGGACCTTGGACACACACATTCTGAAGCAGACTTTGCAAAGGGCGGCAAACCTGTGACCCGAGGGAGTGGTTGCGGTTCTCAGAAGTGGCCAGAAACCACCCAGGGGCGGTGAGGGCCCCCCCCCCCCCCCCCCACAGCGTTGGGGGCGGGGCTGGCTCCGGGTCACGCGGAGAGCTAGGAGGGCGTGTGCGGGGCCTTCGCTCCAGTCCACGAGGCGACCCTGCGGCAGGGGACGCGCGACCCTGCACCAGGCCTTGGTAGCGACACAGAAAGCCTTTCGCCAGCACTGCTTCTGTGCAAAGCTGGGTGGGCAAGTTAAAAACATTATAAAAATATAAAAGTAGGTGGGGTTTTGAAGGCTGATGGCACTTTATCAAAATAAAGCCGAAGCTGGAGCCCGAGGCTGACAGCGTGGATTCAGGTCCCTGCAGGAGGAGGGGCCCGGGGAGGCTGCCCTTCTGCCCCCCACGTTTCTCTCCTTTTCGGGCAGGGGCCCGTGAGTTTGGCCAGCCCCCTGGGCACGACCGCCGGTCAGTGGGTCTGCCTGCTCCCAGGGGAGCGGGGCTTCGGCCCCCACCTGCCAGACTGAGATCAGCGTCAGAGCTCTGACAAGATGCCCAGTGGGTGTCTAGTATGTACAAATATAAATTAAAGACTATATTTATGGAACATATACAAATAAATAACTTACTTTGGAGCAAAGACTTGAAGCTAACTTTCGATCAGACCTGGAGTGCGGAGGGAGCCGGTCAGAGCGGACAGCAGCCGTGTCTGCGCAGCACCCACTTTAAATGGCTCCCTGACCTACAGGCCTCGGTCCACCCCAGAAGGCGCGGGGTGTCGGGATGACAGGAGGGAATTTAGAACCGAGGCTTCACACGCACCACACTCATCCGCCAGGCGTCGGGGGCCCTGGATCCCGGGCATGGCCCACGGACGCAGCCGAGATGCTGTCCACTGGACACATCAGTGCTGCCCACGCCGCCGGCAAAGGTCAAGGGTGCAGGCTGCTAGGACCTCCCGTCTAGGAACAGTGCACTTGGGCAGAGCTGGCTGCCAAGCACAATGGCCAAGAGCCTTAACCAGAGAAACCATGTTCATCTGACGGCAGCAAAGACAAACAGGAGACCGGCCTTTCCTCGTGGAGGAGCGGCCAGACCGAGCGGCCCCGCACCCCACCCTGGTGTCTTCTGCGGATGCCCCGGGAAGCTCCCTGCTACATGCTGGTAGAATGTCCCTCAGACTGCTGCCCTGTGGGAAGGGGTCAGAGGGACAGTGCCAGATCACAACAACTCGTGACCCCTATGCCCCTGGCAGGTGGCTGTGCAGTGGCGTCAGGTCCCAGGTGCAGGCTCCTTACACAGTGCAGGGAACGTCCCCATGTGCCCCAGGCCAACTTCCTGCTGAGCCTGTCACCTCAGGGTCTGCCCGGGACACTCAACCTCAGTCTGGCCCCAGGGGCCCCGCGTGTGCACAGAGAGGGTCTCGGGGACAAGCAGGGGAAACCGCTGTGCTGTCAGTCCCCACACAGGATGGGAGCCTCCTTCCAGGGGCCAGTCAAGGCCTGCGTCGCCCACCCCTCGCCACAGCCCCCCCAGCTGGGAGAGGGGACTGTGGGACAGTCCTGGGGACAGACCCTTCACGAAAGAGCCCTGTGAGGGTCCCTGCAGATGAAGGGGACCCTGGGTCTGAGGCCACAAGGCAGCGGCCGGCTCTCTCTGTCCCTCCTGTGCCTCAGCACCCAGGAACACGGCACGGGAGGCGAACAAGACAGGGGGCGGAGAGGCCGACGAGCCCAAGTCCATGGACGCATTCATGGCTTCGATTTTCACACTGGAGGCAGGGGAGGGCCTGGGCGGGAGATCTGGCAGGGCCCTCATGCTCTGTGATGTCCCAGTTCCATAACTGCGACTCCCAGGACCTGCCCCAGGTCATCCTTTTCACAGGACGGACCTGCCAGCAAAGGGCCTGGGGAGGCCAGACTAACCGTGCGCCCCACTGGGCCTCCAGTCCCCGGGTACAGCAGCGAGGGCACAAGAAGGGGAGGCCGAGAGGGGTGGAGCCGCGAGCCTGGGCCTCCTTCCCAGACCAGTGCAGACAGCAGCAGGGCACGGGGCTCTCGAACCCTGAGTGCTAAGCACAGCGCTCATGAGAAACGCTCAACCTTCCCAAAGGATGGCGCTTCTCTTGTCCTGGCAACAAAGTGACCGTCCAGAAAAAACGGAAAGGGGAAAAGGTGTCACCACGCAGCGTCTCAGGCCTTCACCTCTAGGGACAAGGGGACGGGGAGGGCCGCAGAGACACGTCGCACGCTCCTGCGAGGCCACCAGCTGTGCAGCCTCTGGCAGACGGCCACGCTGCCGCAGAGGCTGCAGGAGAACTCGGGCCCTGCCCCCGCTGGGCCCTCGCCCCTCCAGCCTGTGGCTGATGGGCTGGCACTGACGCGGGTCGCCGCCCCTCGCTGGAGGGGGTCCCGTGTTACCTTTCCTCCCTTTCTGTCTTTAACAAATCAAGTGGGAAACCGAGGGCTGCGGGAAAATTCCTTTAAGGGCACCGTCATACAGTAGAAAAATACTCGCGAGGGTCTGGGCGTGCGCTGCGGCGCCCTGTGGCGTTGGCTCGAATCGGCTCTCCTCTACGTCCCATTCTTCAGCTCCCATTCCTGGCAAGGGAAGCGAGAGCAAGAGCGCCTGGTCACACGGTGAGGTGTCAGGACACAGGGCCTGTGACCTAAGGCGGGCACGTGGCTGGGGGGCAGACAGGCTGGGGGCAGTCCTTGAAACATCACAGAGAGCTGCTGTATGACCCGGGGATGGCCTGGGGGCACGGGCGGAGCACCTGCTGGGGAGGGCCCACGGCCTGGTCTGGGGGGCGGCCGCCAGCAGCCAGACCCTGGAGGCAGGTCACGAGTGGCATTCAAGGGGACCGGACAGGGACAAACCTAGCTGCACCGTCCCTCCCACAAGGTCGCAAGGCCAGAAGGTCTTTGCCCCGTTGGGCCGCACCCTTAGAGTGCACGGAGGGACTGACCTTGGCCTTCCGAAGCACGTGGCCGCGACAGGGGGCACTGCCGGCTGGCTGGCTCTGCTTCAGGACAGCCGCGCTGTTCACAGGCACTGGGCCCTCAGCGTCACTGGTCTCGCAGCTGGACAGGGGTGAGCTCTCCAGCAGCCGGTGCCTGCTCCCAGGGGACTGTCAACAGAGAGGGGGAACCTGTGTGAGGGGTCCAGGCTGCCCTGCTTCCCAGTAGGGATGGTTTGCTTCTAAGAAAAACAGGGTTTGGAAATCGGCAACCACGGGGACAGCCAGAATGAGGACAGCGAGTGCGTGTGTGGTCTGTGCCCAAGTCTAAGAGCACCTACTAAATGTCCATTCCATAGATGGAACAACTGAGGTTCTGAGGGCCCTCCAGCCTCCTGGATCACAACCGGAAGTGGGGGAGGAGGGCCCCCAGACACCACATCTGCTCCTCCAGTCCCTCCAGCCCCCCTCAAGGGCCCTCTCCTCGGCGCTGGTTCCCAGGAGCTCTGGCTGCTGCAATGGCCTCGCCACCCCGGCAGCAGCATCGCTGTCAGCCATGATGGTGGCGCCGTGAGCTCTCAGAGCCACACACGCAGGCGGCCCACTGGCGCGTGCCAGGCACAGGGTCACTGCGAGGGTTTCGGACTTCGCACAGTTTGCACGTGGGCTGGAGGAAGGCGCTTCCCAAAGACTGAGAGTGGGACCAGGGGTGAGTTCGGGTGCCAGGACTCGGTTGCAGGGAAGGCGGCCCTGCAACTGCAGTTGAGGGTACACCCTTGCGACTCCCGGCTGTGCTGGTGGGCGTGTCGCTTCAGGGGAATGGTGTCTTGGGTCCCAGGGAAAGAGGTCTCTGAGAACCCCCCTCAGGGATTATGGGCCACGGGCTGGTTCCTGTTAACTGGGCGGGCACGCGGCGGAGGCAAAGGAGGGGTGAATGAGCCCGTCTCTGGGAGCGGTGAGGCTGGTCTGGCACGTGCCCCTGCCCTGGGACCTGTCCGTCTAACAAGCTGCTACTCCAGGGTCACCGCCTCGGTGGGGATGACGTCAAGTGCTGCCAGATGGCGGTGGCCAAGGAAAGGCCCTCACGAGAGAGGCAGCAGCAAGCACGTGACTGAGAGCGCGGAGCCCCAACATGCCAGTGCCGAGCCTCCACAAGGACCAGCTCAGCTGTTCCGGCCAGAAGAGAGGCTGCAAAGGGGGCTGGGGGAGACCGCAGAGATGGGGGAGACTGTGTGGTCACTGCAGACGCGGGCAGGAGCTGGCCACACGGAAGACTCTGGAATCGGAGCAGGAGGCAGGGGCGCAGTGAGCACAGGTGCGGGGCGAGCTGACCGCAGCAGCGGGGGAGGGGTGGGCTGAATGGGGCACCTGAGCAGGTGCAGCTGCTTCCAGGAGTCTGGGCTGGAAGGGTCAGCAGAGGCCCGAGGCTGTGACTGGGGGAGAAGGTGGGGCTGTGGCAGCATCATCTTTTAACACTCGGGACAAACCAGTGCACCTACAGGTGCTTCGGGGGACGTGGGAGCAGAGTGGAAGGTACAGGGGAGGAGGGTGGACAAGGGCCTGAGAGGCCAGGGGAGGGTGGGGTCTGGGGCCAGCACTCCCAAGGGCGGAGGTCAAAGGGCCGCATGCTGTCCTGCCTCCAGCCTACTCCAGACAAAGGCCTGGAGGGGCTCAGGGATCAGGACGTACTGAGGAGCCACCTGCCCCTCACTGCCACCTCCAGTCGGACCTGGTCCCTTGTGCCCCAGCCCAGTCCTGTCAGACCCTGGGAAGCCCGCATCACCCCGGGCCTGGGGTGCGTGCTAACTCCCCCACACTCGAGCAGGACTCTGCACGGCACTCGCCACGCCTGGCATAGCTCTTTCCCAGGGTTGTCTCCCTCCCCGGGGCATAAGCTCTACAGAAACAGCAACTCTCCTCTGCTCACTGCTGGGCCGGGAGCAGCACCTGGGCCCCCAAGGAGCTCAGCATGTAACCCTATCTTGTTGAGGAAAGAAGGAAGGAAGGAAGAAAGAAGGGTGGGAGGGAGGGAGGGAGGAGGGAGGGAGACACACTCCCTTCGGCCAGGCCCCGAGCCACGCGCAGTCCTGGAGGTAGCCAATATTGTCTCATCCCCGTTTTACAGAAGAAAATGCACGGCTTTGAGAAGGTGGATGACCTCAGAGGCTGGCCCGGGGACCCCAGGGCTGCTCCCCCAACATTCGGCTCAGCTGCATCTGGAAGAAGGGGCCTGTGGGTGGGGGTGTGGCTTTGGGAGGCCAGCTGTGCCACCAGAAATAGCGTTGCCAAGTTGGGGAGGCCCTCTGCAAATGGGGGTGGTCACTGGGCAGCGCGGGAGCTGGGAGAAGGGGGAGGTCTGCAGAGAATCTCTGTGGGGAGTGGGGGCGGCAGAACCACTGGGGAGTGGGGAGGCGGGCGGAGGCTTCAGCGCCACCCCAATGTCCCTAAATCCACACGTCTTCCTGGTGGACCCGCACACTGCTGTGGGGAGGGGCAGGGGCTGAGTTTGGGTCTGACCCTTGCCGCCACGCCACCAACTCTCAGGCAGAGTCCTGTTCCTCTCTGAGCCTTGAGTCCCTCCCTTTGACACGTGGGGCAGTGAGGATTCGATGGAATAATCCCGTGGGAAAGACAAACGAGGCACAGACCATCGCTGTCACTTAGGTGGAAATTCAGCCCTGATTTCCATGTGTCCTGCTCAAGTCACAGAGGATCCAGACCATGCTGGGTCCGTCCCTGGCACTGGGCATGTTCACAGCGCGGGCTAGACATCTATACAAATCTGCGACATTGAACTGGAGTTTCTGTCTTGAGAGCTGGCCCCGAACCAGGACATGGCTCAGAGGAGACAAGAAGTGTACCCCCTGCACTCGGGGCTCACAGAGGAGAGGACACAGGCCGGGTTCCCCGCTCCCGCCTGGCCCCGCTGAGTGTGGGTACCCGGACCTCCCTGAGACAGTGTCCCAAGCCGACATGTGCTGTGCATCTGGGGTGCCAGGTGAGGCTGGAGACGAGAAGCAGCCACATGAGAGGAATGCAGGCATTTGCTCTGCACACAGTGACCACGCCGCTGCGTAGGGCGTTACCTGTGGACTTGAGGTCCCTGACCGGGGCTCGATGGCCAGCCCCAACGTGATCCCGCCAGCCAAGGCCTTCCGGAGGCTCTCCTTGACCTCGGTCAGCTCCAGCTCCAGGCTGACGCGCTCCGACTCCCTCCGCCGGCACTCCTCCTCCAGCGCCTTCAGCTTCTCCTCCAGGACCGGCTGCATCTTCCTGCCTGGGGGCAGGGAAACACCTGGCTGCACGCCCCACCCTTGGAGCCTGCAGGGGCCCTGTCCTTCCTGGGAAACTCACACTCAGCCGCCCTTTAAAGGAACAGTGTCCTCTCCTCACATTTCCTTTGCTGCAGCAGGAAGGACAGGGACCGGGAAGCAGGAGGCTGAGTCTCACAGATGGGTCGCATGTACTCAGAAAATGTGGGACTTAAATGGCATGGCTTCCCAAGGGGCCGCTGATGTGAAAAGTCTGAATGAGTTTATGTTCTAACCCGCTGGCCACTTTCTCACGTCGCCTCCTCTGCCTGATCTCAGGCATAGCTAGCTCACTCCCCACAGAGCCAGGCTCGAGTTTGTTCGGGCGCATTTGCTTTGTACTGTTTGAAATGTGTGGCAGCAACACAGGAAGGCAGGCACTGGGCCCCCGGGCAGGTCAGGAAACCAGCTCCTCAGGGTGGCCCGGCCTGTGCACGGCCCCTGTCCAGCACGCACATGCTTTTCAGGGGCCCAAACCCAGTCTGACACTCTGCACCTCCACCTTCCACTCCCATCCCACCCTCCGAGGTGCATCCGACTCCCCAGGCGGCCCCGTGCTCAGCACAGCACCCGCCCCTGCCCCTCCTGCGAGCCACCCCTGACCGGCTCCGAGGCACCTGCCCCCCGTTCCAACTCCACAGCAGGTCCTTGTGCACAAACCATGCCAACACCGAGTCCGGGAAGGCTTGGACTCCGAGGCACTGGCCCCTCCCTGCACGGAGAGCCACTTGGAGGCAGCGGCTCCCCTCTGGGCCTTCCCGGCTCCCCAGGCTGGCCTGCACCCCTCCCGGTCCTGGGCTGGTGGCATGGAGACCTGGAGTCTGTGCTGGCCCAGGGCAGGCTGGGCCTGAGGCGTGTATTTCAGCAGTTCCCTCCCCAGAGCTGGGACCCCCACCCCAGCCCCGGAACCCCCACCCCAGCCCCATTCGGACAGCTCCAGCCCTCTCTGCGGGTTGCTGCCACTCAGCCAGCCCCCCCAGCCCCTCCCAAGAACCCTGTGCCTGCACAACGGCCTCAACTGGGCTGAGTGCTACCTGCCCCCTGGTACCGCCCTCTTCCCTGGGGACCCAAGTGCCTCTTCACACTCAGTGCCCGATGGCAACAGGCTCTAGGCCAGCCATCCCCAGTGTTTTTGGCACTGGGGACTGGTTTTGTGGAAGACAGTTTTTCCACCATCCAGGTTGGGGGTGGGAGAAAGTGGAGCTCAGGCCACAACACAAGTGAGTGGGGTCCAGGGACAGGAGGGTGGATGGGGCGGGGGCAGAGGCGGGGGCGCCCCTGGTCTCCACAGTGTCTGCCATCAGCACCAGAGGCCGGGACAGCTCCCGGCCCCCTCCGCCTCAGCCTGAGCACTCTGGCCCCTAGCACCAGCCCTGGGCACGGCCTCCCGTGTCAAAGCAGCAGCTTGGGACGCACACCGGGTCTTTCTGAAACAACAGCCTGGTCTTACCGGCGTTCACGTCAATGGCGGCCCGCAGGTCCTTCCTTTCCTTCCGGAGCTGGGCCAGCCTGGTCCTCAGGGCTTCCTTCCGCCTCAGCAGCTCCTCCTCCTTGGTCTGCAGCCGCCTGGCATCTGCTTCCACCCGGTTCTTGCCATATTTGTACTGGTCAGCATCTTAGAAACAAAAGGGGCGAGGGGAAGTCAGGGTTAGCTGAGCCCACAGAGCCGCCATCAGCCCGCTCGGTGACAGACCTGGGACTCGCTCGCTCATTCGACAAGGTAAAGAATGCGACCAGTGTGAACTAGCTCAAATTACTCAGTGTTCTTTGATACCACATTTAAAATTAAAAAATAGAATATTAGGAAATCCCTGAATGCTCTCCCTTCCCAGCATGCACTTTGTTGGACAGTAAGTGTGCCACACCCAGAGTGAGGGGGGCCACCTGCAGGGACACCGCCTCGGAATGTAAAGGCGGCGGACCCGAGAGGGGTGGTGGCTTCCACCCCCTGGGCCTCAGCTTCACCCTCTGTGAAGCAGACATGCTAAGGCCCACCTTGTGGGTCATTTAAAAATTTGACGTTTGTTCCAGAAACTCGTCTCACAGAAGCGTGTGGTGCCTGGGACATGGTGGACACTCGAGGGAGCCTCTGGCCACTGTCCGTGCTGACAGCACCCGAGCCCCGCCCACTCAGAGGCAGAGGCGGGCTGTTTCTGGCAATGTGCCGGAAAGCCAAATTCGCCGGTTCTGTGCTGCAAGCCACGGGCGGGGGCTGCAAGGAATGCTGCCTGCAGGCTGGCACCACGTCACTGCGGCCCCCCTCGGTCCCTCACTGAGAACACACAGCACACAAGGAGGGCACTGGGCAGGTCCCAGCCTGTGGTGACCACACCAACCCCCTGAAACGGGAGTGACTCTGGCCGTGGCTCAGGGCCAGGGCCTGCTCTACAAACAGAGTGACATATGAACTCGGGTCGCTGATTCCAAACTGAGACGTTTCCCCAGCAAAGCTGTGAATCGCCCCATCGCTCAGTCCCCAGGCAATAAGCCCTGTCCAAGCCAGAAGGAAGTTGGCTAGACTCGGCAAAAACACAGAATGCAATTATTGCTCTCATCTGTCACCATTAGATGTCACCACAGTTAAAAACAATTCCTCCAGAAGGTCTCATGAAATAAAGGGACAAATCACCTGGGAAATGAAATCACCCCAGTGACAGAGATAGACTTCCACGTGACTTGGGTCTGGCACAATGAAGAGGCCCCTCCTGCCGGCCCGCCCTCCCTGAGGACAGGACTCGGAACCCCGACTGCACTGGGGAGTGTCAGAGCACAGCTCGGCGAAGGACACACCGGGGCCCGGGGGCAGGGCTGCTGCCCCAGGCTGGTAGCGTGCACGGCCCCCATGTGCCCCTCGCCGTACCCACTGGGGCAGCTCCTGAGCCCCAGGGAGTGCCCGGGCGCTCACAGATCGTCCGCACGTGAGGGCCGAGAGCAGACGGCAGCAGCTACCCCGAGGGGCGGCCCTGAGAGCCCAAGGGAGGAACAAACGCAGGCCTGCAGTGGACGGTGAGAGCTCTTCATACACCCACGTCCCCCCAAGGGCTGGGAGGCCCGTGCTACTGGGCTATTTTGTCACAGAAACCACATAGCTGGTCATCTACCTCCCACCCACAGGAGCTGAGTTTAGAGTTCGTGCAACTTGACCAAAGTCACCAAGTCACCAACAGATCAGAGACACAAACAAGTTCCCCCAACCAAAGCCAGGGCCCTGCAGCTGCCCCTCCCCCTCCAGGGACCACGACCGAAGTCGGGGTGACCAGTGCTGGGGTCAGGCCACCAGCTGGCCTTCCCTCTCACCCCACCGGTGACACAGGGCAGCTCAGCTCCAGGTCCCTGTCCCCCTCAGGCCCCACGCCTGGCACTTTCTCCCCAGAAGGAGGAATAGGTACCCACCCAGGCCCAGGCTGCTCACAGCAGCCCCTGCTGGACCGGACGCAGCAAGTAAGCAGCAAGGCACTTACTTGAAGGTGTGCGTGTCACACTGGCCGAGGCTGCCCTCTTTTGCTGACCGCCCACAGCCTTGCCTCTTCCTGCAACCCCGTTGGACGCCACTGGGGGCTTCTTGCCCTTCAACTGTTGAAAGAGACAGAGGAGAAAATTAGAAACGAAACACTTGTGCTTCTCGTTTTGCAGCACGTCGGCCCTGCTTCCGACTCCTTAGTCGTAGCCACCAAAGGCATAAGTACGAGGGTGGAAGGGGGCCAGTGTGGTGCCCCAAGGCCGGACTGCCGGGGCCTGGCGCAGGCTCAGAGGCGTCCTCAGCTCGGACCAGTGACAGCTGTACTGTCCCCAGGGACCATAAGTGCTGATGGGACACTGGCCCAGGGCTGGAGGTGCGCATTTCCAAAGGTGCACGGCTTTCTTCCGGCAGGACGTTCTCTGGGGGAGGGGCCTGGCTGTGCGGGAATTTCAGCTCCCAGGGCTCTGAGCCCGACTGACTGATGTCCTCACAGGGTCGATGGCTGTGTTTGACTCACAGACAGGGTCTCGGGGAGGCAGTGAGAGATGCATGACATAGAGTTGGTTTGAATACATTTTCACCAGCCACACACGGGTCTTAAAAACTCCACCACTCCCCTGCCCCTTGGATGGCTGTGGGCCGACAGATGCTGCGTTTGCTGAAGTGACGCCTGGCCCACGCTCCGCCCTACACTCACCTCCTGCTGTGGGGGGCCGGGCTTGGGGAGAAGGGCAGAGGGGCTTAGTTCTGGCTCCACCACTCAGCGAGTCACGGGCACCTCTGAGCCTCCGCCTAGGAACCTACTAGACTTCTGACGTCAGTACGCAAAGAGGGCAGAGGCCAGTGGCTGCTGCGTCTGCCCCCGACTCACTAAATAGACTCTGAGCAGCCGGTGCCGATGCAAGCCATCGGCGGGGAGAGCCTCTGTGCGTCTGAGACGCCGGAGCCTCCCCCAGCACGCATCATTTTGTTGAGATTACCCACAAACACATAATCCAAAATGCGCCCATCTGCCTTATAGAGCATTGTCTCCTAAACTGCAAAGCTCTTTATTCAAATGATAAAAAATTCTTAGGTTGGCCCTGGCTGGTGTAGCTCAGTGGATTGAGCGCGGGTCTATGAACCACATGATTGCGGTTCGATTCCCAGTCAGGGCACATGCCTGGGTTGCAGGCCAGTTCCCAGCAGGGGACAGATGAGCAGCAACCGTACATTGACATTTCTCTCCCTCTCTCCTTCCCTTCCCCTCTAATGATAAATAAATAAAATCTTAAAAAAAAATTCTTAGGTTGGCCTTGGCTGGTGTGGCTCAGGGGACTGAGTGCCAGTCTGCGAACCAAAAGGTCCCCGGTTCAATTCCCAGTCAGGGCACATGCCTGGGTTGCGAGCCAGTTCCCAGGAGGGGCGCACCAGAGGCAACCAAATATTGATGTTTCTCTCCCTCTTTTTCTCCCTCTCTTCCCTTCTGTCTAGACTAAATAAATAAAACCTTTAAAAAAATAAAAAAATTCTTAGGTTGAAGATGCTTGAAAACACAGAAGTACTTGCACTGAGACACCACCGTTTGCTACGAACAGGAGGTGAGAGAAGAGACAGTTCAGTAGTAAGTAGCCAGGCAACAGACAACGACCCGAGACTCTTAGCACCTACGGGGTTTTAGAGAGCACAGTTTGTGCTTTTGTCCTCGCCCTGGGAAACACGCTGGTGCTCTGAATAATCCTATTTAACGTGTGAAGGTCAGAATGCAGTTACTCCATCGTGGGGGCCACCTTTCCTCACTGGTGTTTGAACGGAAATGTACTTAAAGAACTTGCAGCTCAGGAATGTTCTGCAAAGTCGTATGGTCCCTGTGCTTTTTTAAATTGTTGCCTTTAGTTGACTTAATTCACCAAATGTGCTGGAGGGTTTCCCAGGACAGAGAGGGCCGGACGTGGGTGGAGAAACACGGTGCCCACCCAAGGTGCCAGGTGCGGGCCACACCGTGTCCACACCTGCAGATCCCAGCATGCTTTCCCCGGGGTGAGCCTCGCTCGTTGTGCACGGGCGACACTGCAAACCCCGCAGGAGAACCAAGAGGCAGAGAGGGTTCTAGAACACGAGAGAACGTGATGCTGTACCTGGGAGCCGAGCCCGAGAGACGCCCTCCCCACAGAAGAGGTGTTAGTGACAGACTGAGTGGAAGGCGGCCCGCAGGGCGCGGGGCGTTTGCAATGGTTACAGGGCAGAGAGCCGGGAGGCGGCCTAGAAGCCTTTCTGTCGGCGGGCGGGTAGCGCGCAAAGATTTTCGGAGACGGCAAGTTATCGTACAGGCCCGCGTTATCGTACAGCACCTCTTCGTCGCCCCGGCCTCCGCCGCCGGGGGTGGCCGCGGGATCCCACTGCAACACACACAGCCTGGAGGTTAGTGCCGCCCGATGCCTCGGCCCCGCACGCCCACACGCGCCCGCACGTGCCTGCTGTCCATGCTGACCCACACCCGACTGTGCACGGGCTGACTCAGGAGAGCTCCTCTCCTGCTGGGGGCTCAAGGGAAGGTTTCTTTTCTCCAGTCCTCCCCGGAGTCACTGGCTTACCAAGTTTTTGTTCTTTTGATTTTTTTTTTCTGCTTTAAAAAACAGAACTGATCTGACATTTCCTCTCTAAAGAAACAGATTTCAGGAGTCCACCTGGCCACAGGCAGAGCTGTGTGCTGCCAGGGATGGAATGATGGACAGGGACACGGAGACATGGGGACGGGGCACATGGGGATGGGGGGCAGGGCCCAGGCCCTGCCCAGCAACCATGCGGAGACCCCAGTGAGGCGCCGTGTTTTACTTTTCGGTGATCACGGTCTTCTAGATGATGTTTTGAGTGCCTTACACACACGGACCCTTCTAGGTCTTACGGGAGGCTCACGGAGCAGGCACACTGAGGTCACGGCTGGGACAGGCAGAGCTCCTGAGGCACAAACCCTACCTCTGTGCCCACCACCCCTGCCCGCGCCCTGGGTAAACTGAGGGGCTCCATTTCAGACCCCCAAGCCTGTGTGCCTCAGTGAGGGGCTCCAGGTGGCAGCAGCCGGCCCCGGGCCCCACATGCGGTTGTGGCTGATTAAAGAGCAGCAACTAAAACCAGTCTGGAAAGACGAGAAACTGTCATCACAGCAAATAGGATGTTTCCAAGTATAAGGGACACGAGGGCACTCTTTAGTGGAAACTGGCTCATAAAAGACAAAAACGCCTCCAGGCCACCTTACGGCGTGGACGCGACAGCAGGCAGGAAACCCAGGGCTGAGGGCAGCCTGGCCTTTTAAACTATAAAGGTCTCTATAAATTGCTTTGCATTTACAAAACCAGAGAAGTATTAGTCCCTGTACCATGCTTATCTGGCCCTATTTTTATCCCTTCTGGCAGACTCCTTCCTGCCAGACTGTAATCACAGGCTCTCTGTAAAAATAGGTCTGATGTGCCTTCTTGGATCGCTTCAGCGCATCTATTTTGGGGGCGAGGGGCCGGCTGCAGCTCAAACTGGCGGACAGATGGCGCGGGCATGTCAACTTGGATGCGAGCATTCCCAAACGTCCACCAGGGGTGGACCGGCCCAGGGTTATTAAAACAGTCTAGACTGGACCATCATCTCCCTAACACCGAGGGATGGAGCCACACAGCAGACGGGCGTGTGAGCCTGAGCGCGCAGGTCAGAGCCCTTTCCGAGACTTGCGTCAGGCCTCAGGGGCAGCACCGCGAGGCTCAGGGTCACTAAAATGAAACACTGCCAAAAAGGGAGGCTTCGGGCCAAAAGTACGAACTTTATAAAACGGAAAAGCAGCGCTCCCCAAAAAGTGATGGCCTGCTAACAGAGCCCAGTGTACGGAGAAATAGTACCCAGAAAGGCCTGTGGCCCTGACCAGTGTGCTCAGAGGGTCGGGTATCCCCGGTCGATTCCCCGTCAGGGCACCTGCCTGGGCTGTGGGCCAGGTCCCCAGCTGGGAGCGTGTGAGAGGCAACTGATGGATGTTTCTCTCTCACATCGATGTTTCTCTTCCCTCTCTTTCTCCCTCCCTTCTCCTCTCCCAAAAAGTAAAGAGCGAAAGGCCTGTGCTTCCAGGATGATAGAAAGCAAGAGCCAGGAAGGTTGTGTACAGGAGGTCATACCCTAAAAGTGCACACCGCCTACAATCACTCCTGAGGACACCCCTAAATGCAGAGCCCCCTGAACATGAAGGTCTGTTTCCAGGGAAGATGGGGCCATGACGGGCTGAAAGCAGGCTTGCCCTGGGCACAGGGTGACCCCAAGTGACAGGACGATGGGGATGGGGACTGTGTATGGGAAGAACCACCTCGAACTTCCATCTGGAAGGGGGACACTGGAGAAACCCCCAAGGAAAGGACTGTGATGGGGCCTTTGGTGGGGAGATTCGAGGAAAGTTTGGGTGTCACCTTTCCAAGAAAACTCTGGGACCAAGGACTCAGGGAGGCAAACCCTTCATTCACTCTCTGCAGGAGTTAGGCCGTTGGGTGAACACAGGGCAAAGGTCTCTCTGTCTCGAGAAGCTGGCAGCTGCAGAGCACGTGGGGGCCCAGAGAGCCAGGTGTACCCTGAGATGTCCCAGTGACTAGGACGGGCTCAGGGACCTGTGGAGAACCTGCTCCTGTGAGGGTCGCTGCAGGCTCTTCCCCCCAGGGGAGGGCACAGGCCACTGCACGGGGGTGCGGGGGCAGGGAGCCCTTCAACCCTGGAGACACCCTGGTAAAGGTGGCGGTGACAATGGGGGGGACGAGGAGGAGGCTGGCAGGACCTGGTGCTTTCTCACTGTGGGATGGGACATGTCCCCCACCCTGGCCACCCCGGACTCAGACAGGACCCCCCCCAAGGACTTTACAGCCAGGCTGGGATGTCCCGAAGCCTCCGCCCACGCCCTCGCACCCATGTCCCATATGGAACCTGACATTCGCCCTCATCTGCACTTGGCAGGCCTTGTGTGGGAAGGGGTCTGGCCAAGGAAGGCCCGCGCCCACAGGCCGGGCTTCAGCCTGCCCATGCTGCTGCCCTGCTGGGCCCTTGGGCGGCGGTGGCCCCGGCTCCTGTCAAGGCAGGTTGGGTTTTATGATAATGGACACCATGGAGTGGAGAGACCACATCCCTCCCAGCAGTGAGAAAAGAACAGGTAAGCAAAACAGGCAGGAAAAAATCTGACGTACCTCCTGAGGTTGGAAAAGTCACAACCCACCTGCTCTACGCCTCCTTCTGAGACCTGCACTAACACAGTTGCCGGTTCAAACCCGCCCGGTCCTTGGAGACAAGCGGGGTGGTTGGGGAGCCTCCCCCACGAGTCTGTGCCTCTGGGCCGCAGCGGGGTGGCCCAGGAGACGGCCCGAGGAGATGCAGACGTGGTGACGTGGGGACGAGGAGGACAAATGCTGACTGGTGAGCGCTGCTTATCACACTGAGACACAGGAAAACTCCCAAGGCCACACAGACCCTGAAGGCCAGTTTTATACAAAACGGCGCACTAGCGCCCCCGGTGTTCACACATGGGCGTGTGCACAGACCTGGCCCAGGTCTCCAAGCCCACTCCAAGGAGGTGGGCGGGAGCCTGAGAGCTGGCCAGCACTTCACAGAGCGTCCCTCCCTCCCTCCCTCTCTCCTCCCTTTAGCATCTGCTTTCTGATGCTGAGGGATCAGCATTTTCACCCCATGGGGCAACAGGGACTCACTGATCACTCACACTGCATTACGCTCGGATGGAGCCGAGCGACCCACTCTGAAGTGCCCAGTCAGCCAGGATTTGAGGATTTGCCAGGATGTCTAGTTAGCAACACTGACATGGAACACTGAATGAGACATGGTCTACTGGTGTCAAATGGCCCGTGTCCACATGCAGATGAAGACGGACACTTGTCGGAAACCAGGCCAGGAGAGACAGGGCGGGGCTTCCTCACGCCTGGACGGAGACCGGGGCCCTGAGCCCACAGGGCCGTCGGATGCAGCACCGCACACCTGGGGAATGCACACTCACCGAGCCGTTGACGCAGGGGACGTCGTCGTAGTGCAGCGCCGTGCCGCTGGGGTGGGCGTAGCCGTTGGCGGTGCCCCCGAGGTACGGGTTGGTAGAGACGCCCCGCCTGTTCATGAAGCTGAAAGACAGGTAAACCCTCCCGTCCATCACCACGTCTGGCCTGAGCTCTGGCCGGGAGTGAGGGCCAAGCCAGAGAAGACACCTCAGTGCCCAGAGGCACTGCAGCCACCGGGCCACACTCCTCACTGACAGAACAGGGCAGTGCAGCCCTGCAGCAGTGACACAGACCGGCCACAGTGCCTGCTGGGCACATGACTCAAGGCCTTGGCCCCCACGTTTACGACCAGCAGTCTGCGACGGGGCCCTTCTGCCCAGGGCCTGCTTTTGGCAATGGCATTTGGTCGAGACTCGGCCTTGACCCTTCGTGCAGGTGCTGCTGTGGTGGCTTTCCAGTGGCACCCAGGCCGCCTACTGGACCCTGTCACCAGGCTGGAGAGCAGGTGGCCTGCAAACTGAAACACTTCCTCTGGCCTCCTCCAGGAAGGGCCGCGGAGCCCTCAGCTCTTCAGAGCGTTTACTCAACAGCATTTCTTGGGCTCAGAGCCCCCCCCTCGGGACAGCTCGCCCTTCCCTCTGCCCCCCACACCTGGGTGGCCCAGAGCCCTGACAGGCCGCGTCTCCACCTGCTCAGGGAATAGGCTTCTCTGGCAGCCTGGGGGCTCTAGGTGCTGCTTCGAGTCCGGGACTGTCCCCAGACAGGCTCGCTGATGGCTCTCAGCAAAGCCCTCCCGCCTCAGGGCCTTGTCCCCTCCACCTGGCAACCCTCCCCCAGAGCTGCCACTTCATGAACAGCACGCCCTGAACACCCAAATACATAGTGTCCCCCACCACTGTGGCCCGTCTGCCGGGTTCCCTCTCCTCCTGTCACTGGTCACCACCGGACATGCCCTTCCACGTTCATGGTCTGTGTGTCCCCCTGAAAGACCCACTTAGCGTCGCGTCTGTTCATCCCGCATCTCAGTGTCTGGGTCACGGCAGGGGCTCCGCAAGTAACCCTGGGCGACTGTATAATACGTGAGGCGTGTACCCAAGAAGTCACTCTTGTGAGCAAAACATTTGATGCCCAGGGAAGAAATAACCTCGGTAGCACTTCCTCCAACTGTAGTCCCGGATTTTTAAAAAGGGTTTTGTTTTCAAACTGTATTTCTTCATAGAATCTTACATTCCCATGGTATGTAGATGAACAGAAAGGGGAGTAAGTGAAAGAAGTGAGGCGATGCCGGGACGGTGAGAACGGCCTCTCTGATTTCTGATTTAGAAGCAGTGAGCGCCAGGGCTGAGGGATCAGCTGGGGCCTCCAGCCCAGAGCTGGGCAGGTCGGCTCCCAGAGCACAGCTGCTGCCCTCTGCTGGCAGAAGGCGGCTGCGCAGGCCTCGCTGGGCCCTGAACATGGTGCTCTCCGGTTTGTGAGATAACTCCTCCTGCTTTTTTCTCATGAAAACTGTATACGATTATCCTACAGTTAAAATACATATAAGTGTATGTGGAAAACAAAAAATACAAGAGAAAAATGTACACATTTGGGAGTTTGGCAACAACCGAGGATTTCTGATTTGTTCATGAATGTCGATTCAAGGTTCTCCGATTTACATGTCTTCTCTGAGGGCACCGGGGATCAGGCACTATATGCAGCTCTGTCAGTAACAGGATGAATGACAGACCCAGCCGCTGACCAGCCCTGCCGGTGCCCACCCGCCGCACAAAGGTCCAGGGGTCAGTGTGTGTCTCCCTCCTCCCAGCAGGTGGAGTCCGTCTCAGCAGGGCCTGCCCAGCGCATGCCTGCGTCTCCAGGTCCTGGCACCGTGCAGAAGAACACATGTACTGGTGTACTGACACCGGGAGGAGTGAGGACCACACAGGGGTGGGACAGGAGCCTCCCTGCCTGGAAAGGGCGCTTCTGACTCAGGGACGTCAGAGGGAGGCTTCACAGACACGGAGGAGACTTTCCACCTCCGCACACCGACCTCTGTAACCGTTCAACTCCCCAGCCCCTCCCCCAGCCCCCCGATTTCTACTTCCTGTCTCCATGTTGCCCAGTTGTCCCGTGAGAGGACTCCCGCAGAACCTGCCTGTCTCATGGACAGGCGTCCTCCGGCTTTGCCCAGTGATTAAGAAGTGCACCTCCCATGGTCTCCCAGGGACTCGGGGGAGGCGACAACTCCAGACCACAGCTCCCTATCGGGGAGTCTCTGCTCTCGTCGTCCTGCTCATCCTCATCCTCATCCTCACTGTCAGGGATCTCTCACAAGTCCCCAGCTGAGCAGGGCTCGGAAAGAGTTTCAGGAGAAAAATTCAGAACACCCCCCTTGTACCATATAATCTATAGATCTCACTTCAAAGCGGGCCTCAGGAAAACGTTTCGACAGTTTAGTAATATTAAGGTTCCTAAGCAGACTGCTACTTTCTAGGGGAAGTTAAATGACTACTTTTTCTTTTACTGCTTCTTTCCAAAACACACCACTGCCCCCCCCCCTCAGAGAGCCAATGCGCAGACACTTCCCTAATAATCCTGAAAAAATTCATTACCTGGCTGACAATCTGTGTAAAAGAAGAAGCCCCTCATCCCAGACAGTTATCCCACTGGAGAGCTGTCCCATTTTGTATTCTGAACACCGTTTCCGTGTTAAATCCCTCCTCTCTGGTCTAATAGGAGCGTTTACTAGAAGCCTAGGGCGTAAGGACCAGGTTCACTGCTGGCGTCTGGAGAGACGCGAACCGGGCAGGAAGGGCCCCCGCGTGCACACGTGCAGCAGCGGTCTCTCAGCACTGCAGCCCACACCCCCTCCCCAACGCGGGGCTCTCCCCTCACTCAGACAGTGCGCCAAGGTGTGCCCCGGGGGAGGTGCTGTTTTTTGGGGCCACTCTGAGACGCGGGTCTCAGGGCCCCGGCTGCACCTGCGGTTGCCTGTGGCCATGGGAGCGCCGTTCGGAAACCTCATCACTCCCAAATGACCGCCACCAGCAACCATCATGTCTCTTCCTCTGGAAGAGTGCATCGCTCTGGACAGGCAGACCTGGCCGACCGGATCTAGGGGCATCATAAAGGCTCTTCAAAGGTGCTTCACTGAGCCAACGCCTAGGAGCGGCTCTGTCACCTGCCTGCCCGCTGCTGACGAGACAGGACGCTACCACGGGAAGACAATGCGCACGCACAGGATGGCCTGTCCGTGCCTGGGCCACAGCCCACAGGCCAACGCAGCTGTGTTCGGACACGGTCAGGCCCATCCATTTGCCCCCCCTGTCTGTGGCCGCCGTGGCAGAGGGAGTGGCCACGACAGGGGCTGTTAGGCCCGCAAAGCCAGAAATTGTTTCTGTCCTGCCTTTAACAGAAGAAGGCTGCTGCCCCCATTCCAATAGAAAGCAGAGGGCTGACAAGACAGCTGCCCCCCCCCATGTTTGGGGTCACTGCAACACAAGAGGCGGAGCCTTCAGCTGCACCCCTCAGGCCCCCGTGCCCCAGTGGCGGCCTTACCAGAAGGCGTGCCTAGCCGTCTGGACGACGCTCGCGGACGTCTCCACGTCGATGTAGTCGTAGTGCAGGGCTGCGGGGTCTGCCGAGGACCCCGTCTCTGCCAGCAGGACCCCGATCCACCGGCCCATGTCTTCAGAGGACGACGCCTGTGTGGGGAAGGGGAGTGCCTTTTACTTCATTCATGGTCACGAGCTTCAATACGGTCACAGTGTGTCCCAGGAGGGACCACATGACAGTGGCCCCTGAAGCTGGTTTGGAGTGAAGCGAGAAGGAAGGAACAGCCGGCGCCACATTCCCACTGAGCCTTGCGGTTGGGGACACAGCGACTGGACCCGAGGGTGTGGACAGGGAAGTGACTCCATCTCAGTCAATCTCAGACCTTCCTCAGCAAGCCAGCCCACCTGGTCCCTCCCTGGGCCTCCACCCACTTCGCCCTCAGCACCAGCGTATGCCGGTCCAAGCCGCCCTGTGCCGTCCTTGTGCCACTCTCGGATCCTCGGGCAACACTCTGCTCAAGCCCGGTACGGTTTTCCACGGACAGCACAATTCCCACCTACCAGCTCAGCTTTCTCGCACAGCCGCCCGCCCTGTGCGCCTGGCCCACGGGAATGCCTGCACGCACGCTGACCCCAGCCCCACACTCCTTTTATAGACAAGTAGAGAAGCCGAAGAGAGAAGAACGGTTTGGCTGCGATCAAAGGCTGCCACAGGCCCAGGACAGGGGCCCCGATCATGCGCTCCCAGGCCTGGCCCCTGCTGAGGAACCCCGGCCCCATGCAGAGTCAGAGCACGGGCCTGCCCTCCCAGCTGTTGGCCGGGCCCTGCGGGAGGGAACACCGTGCTGCTCATCCTTTTCGCTCCCACTGAAAGTAGTTTCCATGAATATCACGTCTGAAGCAAACCCCCTCTCCTGCCGAGACCTTTGAGGGTACTCATCTGGGTCCCTGTCACCTTGGTCCCAGGCCAGGCTACTTCCGCCACTGACCAGCATCACCAAGGTCGCTTAGCATCTGGTTCTCTGCCCACAGCTCTCTGGGATGAGCTAGAGATACCGCTACCCCATTGCCTGGACAGATGCTCTGCCCACAGACGGCACAGTACCTCTGGGCTGTGGGCTCCGGGGCAGTCCCACCACTGGCCCAGGCGGTGCAGGCCTGGGCACATGCCCATGTGCCCGTCCTTGCATCTCTGTTGTGACGGTGCCGGGTGGAACAAAGACAGAGGGCAAGGTCTGAATGAACACACATAGGAAATAATACGAGTGATGGAAATAAAAAGTAGGCTGCTGAGAAATTCACCCCAGTGGCCTCTTTCTGCCTCACCTCCGAGAACACGTGCTAGAAGGCAGCCAGGGCCCCGGAAGGCCGAGCCTGCTGGTTTCCCCGGCCGCGGTGCACTAGCCACCACCGTCTGGCAGCGCCTGCCCTGCTCGCGCAGAGTTGCGGCCACAGAAGGCTGCGTGGAGGAAACACCATGGCTTCCAGGTGCACAGCCATCAGATGGGGAGGACAGGGCCACTGGGAACTGGAAAGCAAGTTCCTTCCTGGCCACTTTCAGCAAGTATCCCACGACACAGAACTGCACCGAATCTCCACGTGGACACATGTACAGGAAGTGGCACGAGGAGGCGACTGGGCAGAGGGGTCTGCTTTGCACTCGGCTCAGCAGCAGGGGCCCGGTGCTGTCGGGGCTTCAGCGCCCTCGGGAAGGGGGGACCAAGGAGGAGGAAGAGCAGAGCGGAACACAGTACGCGGGGAGGGAAAACAGGACAGGAACCAAAGCGGCTTGGTCGCTGAGGCCGGGGGCTCTGGCGAAGGGAGCACGCCCTACCTCCAGCACAGCCACCTCCTGCCCATTGCGAAGCAGCCGGAAGGTCAGGGGGTGTCTGGAGTCCAAGCCTGGAATCACCTCGCAGCCGCGGAGAGGGATGGAGGCGATGTGGCTCTTCAGGTCGGTTCTGTCCTTGTGCAGCACGAGCTTGTTGTCCTTGACCCGGCACCAGCGCTCCCGCCAGCGGTTGTTGGAGAGCACGCTCAGGTGGCCTGCAAGGACAGGGATGACAGGGTGCTGCTGGTGGGACGGCCTCAGGCCCACGCTTGGTCCCTCGCCTGGTCCCATGGAAGGAGCCGCACGGGGACACGCACAGGGCGGCCCCGGGCTCCGTTTTAGGTGCGAGTGTAAACACACTCGGAGGGCCGCCGCCACCACGAGGCAGAGGTCAGACCAGCCCCGGGCTTCTCTGAGGCGGCCGGGCCCTGTGAGAAGCCCCCGACGGGACGCAGTGTGCGGCGTGTGCTGAGAGTCGGACCCCAGACGGCGAACGCCTCTGTGGGGACCGCAGCGTGCCTGGAGAATGGGAAGGCCACTAAGCACCAGGGGCGGGAAACGAGGAAATGACAGCTGCCTTCAAAGAGCTGAAGGGACCCAGAGAAAGGGGTCGAGACGCGTTCTGAGTGGCCGCATGTGACACAGCCACAGCAAGAGAGGAGGGCAGACAGGCTTCCCACGAGAACAAACTGTCTGAAAATGAAAGTTTCCAGGGATCAGGAGGCCGCGGAGGCAGCAAGTTCTTTGGCACTGGAAGAATTCCAGCAAATGATGCACCGGCCTCGGCATGAGGTCCCTACCGGAGACCAGGACGCCCCAGTGACCTCACGGTGCACAGCCGCTGCTGGCTGGAGGGCTCCCTCCATCTGCCCGCCGCAGCCGGCCCAGATGCCCTCTTGGAACTCGGATTGGGCCCGGTGGGCAAGTCTGTGCGCAGGTCTCCTACCCTGCACGGAACCCAGTGTGTTACAGGTGTGGAGATGCACAAGCCTGTGCAGGTCTCCACAAGCAGCAAAGTCACAGGAAGAGCGGCCCCTGGCTTACCAAACTCTTCAAACATGAAAAACTAATCACTTCCTGTCACAAATACAAAATGCATTTTTCTGGAAATAACATGCATGGAAAATAGAGGCCACTGGGTGGCCGCGACTGCTCGCCACACCATAACACTGGTAAGTAACCGCCCCTTCCGCTCAGATCCAGGAAGTGAGTTACACAGTGCGAGGAACGCAGTCAGAAAGGGAGAAATGAAGAAAGGGCTCCCCAGTCACCCGCCCTCTCGCCACTCACAGCTGGGCACGGGTGCACGCCCAGGGCTCAGAGCAAAAGGAATCAGTGCTTTCCAAGCCTGAGTTTTAAAAAAGTGCTTTCCCAAAAGGGTTTTAGAAGATGGTTTATGCTTCTTTTGTGTTCTAAGTCCTACACACGTTATCAGCAAAGGACAAATGCTATAGAGAAAAAAAACATAACAGAACCAAACCCCACGCAGGCAGGCACTTCACGCCCAGCACGGCGCTCCGGCTGCCGCACAAGAACACTGCTCAGGGAACTAACTCCCTGGGGACACTCCGAATGTCTGGACTCTCTCCGGCTACCTCGGCCCTGCCAGTGCACCCCCAACCCAGGATGTGCGCCCGGTCCCCAGACTCGGACTGCCGGGGGCCATGCTCTGCAGAACAACAGAGCAGGCCAAGGGGCGAGCCCATGGGCACCCAGCAGCCGGGAGCAGGGTTCTCCTGAGCCACATGTTTGGGAGGGTCCACCAGGGGTGGGGAGAGGCTGGAGAAGCGCGCTGAAGCCCAGGGTGAGCCTTCCCGGGGGAGGAAGCTCAGCCCCAAGAGGTGAGTGCAGGGTTCGAGGCCCCCAGTGAGGCCTGGCCTGCTGCTCTCAAGTGCAGAAGGTGGCAGGTATAACGCTGTTCTTCTGAATGCAGCTGCAGGCCTTACATGATGACTTCACTTGTGAACACTGCTTGTGGACGACACACTTCTGATGCATTTACTTTGGACAAAAGAGAAAGCTCTGGACATGGCCGGCCCCGGCTATGCTGTTGGAACGCCAGTGGCGACTGCTGGACTTGTCAGTGTCCACGGATGCGGTAACGCTTCTGAGCAGTGGGTGGTGTGGAGCGCCCGCTTACTTGTGAAATGACCGCCAGCTGCGCCCCATCAGCGTTCCAGGAGCCCGAATGCCACTGTGACGGGACAGGCAGAGATCTGCAGACTCGGACTGCTATGGGGCACCCGAACCTGCTGGGGTGCACGAGGCCAGCTCTCAAGACACTGGTCACAGAAGCCCTGAGCCGTCAGGCACTGCCAGGCAACTATCAGGTGGGCGGGGAGCCCACCTGCAGCCTGGGTGGAAAGGCTGGCGTGAAGCTCAGGGGCCTTGAAGGGTGGGGCCCCCTCCAGCCTGGGGAATGCGGTGTTCGGGTCAGGAGGGGAGTCCAGGCCCCAGGTCCCAGTGGGAACCAGCCTTGATGCAGGAGGTGACAGATCGTGAGGGGAACACATGAGGTTCTGTGTTCACAGAGGCAGTGACGTGGTGAGAAGAGGCCTGAGTTCAGAGTTCGCCCACAGCATCCTCAGTGCAGGGGTTGCGTTCCTGGGAGCAGCTCCACTCTCCTGAAGGAGAAGGAGCTCTCCCGTGCTAGCTTCTTCCCTGATAGAACCTGACCACGAGCCACCAAATGCTAGGAATTTCTTGACATCAGAGTCACAGAAAGGAAGACTCCACTGCACATATCCCCAGCTACGCAGAACTCGACTTCTTGTAAAGTTAACATATTCCGACACCTTCCTCGGATTAGTTCTCGATCAACCCGACAGGCGGCGGGCACTCTGCCCACTGTGCCTCTCGTGCTGGGCATCCTGACACCCCAGCTTGCTGGGCAGGGGCTCTGGGACGGAGGCCACGCAGGGTGTGCAGAAGACCCCGCACGAGGAACTGCGGTCAGAGGGTCGGTCCCCACGCCTGGCACTGCGTGCCCACCCCCCCCGGCCCTGCACCTCCATGGGCTGATGGACAGGGCTGGCTGTCTCACTGGTGCGCCCAGAGCCGGGGAGCTGTGGCCAGCCCAGCCCGGATGGCGTCCTCCAGCAGCAGCTGTGGGCCGACTAGTGTCATCGGCCCTTGAAGCGCCACCTTCACCTAGACAATTTGGGAGTTTTGGTCAAACGTTGTGAGATTTTTTTCCCTCCATATTCTAAAGAACTCAGTCCTGCCGTCCCAGGACTGAGGTTGAAGGTCGGACACACAGGAGGAGGGAACAGACACCAGCGTTCCAGACCGTGGGTCTGGACCACAGTCTCTAAATCGCCTTCCAGGTGAGTTTTTCACAAAAGGACTTCGACTGCCTCCGCTGACCCACAGCAAGCTAAACAAAAGCTAAAAACTTTGTCACTCTTTGGGGGAGAATTCCCTCTTTCTATTTTTAATCCCTAACAGCTGCCTGCTCTCCAGAGCCAGTGTACAAGGGGACAGTCCCACAGGGCCCGCGCTGTGCCACTCCAAGAGGCAGCAGCCAGGAGGGCGTGGCCCAGGGTCCCCACTCCCAGGCCTCCCCTCCGCCCCACACTCATGCCCTGTCCCTTTGGGTTTGGTTTCAGCAAGGCAGCTGCAGTCTACAAGGAAAATTACTATCCAGTCTTAACTTTTTAAAAGGGGCGAATATCTGTCATTCAGTTTCTGAAGTTTTCTCCCTCAAAAGAGTTGCCTGGTTGCTAGGAAACATGCACAGTGCCCCAGGTGGCCTTGTTGTCTCTTCCATGTCCCCTCGCACTGTGGATCAGTTAGTTCCCGAGTGTTCCCATCTGTCATCACTTGCTCCAGGCCCACCTTTGTTACCCAGGTGGGCAGGGTAACGCCAGAGGGCTGGGGCCGCCTGGGTCCCTACCACACACCACGTGCTCACATGGCTCAGACCAGCAGCAGCCACTTAGAAAACACATAACGGAAGCAAAGCTGACACGGGAGATGGTCGATCAGTTAGACTGGGCTTGAAACAAGTTTGGGAGGCGGAGCATGACGAGAAAGGGGAAGAACCGACCTCAGTCCCGTAAGTGCCCGGCCAGACTTTACACCCCACAGGGCAGGCCGGCAGCCTGCGTGTGCCTTCCCACTTCAAAGACTTGAAGGGACCCGGAGATATTCTGGGATCAGAGGGAGACTTAGTTTTTCATCTTGAAAGAACCTCAGAGATCATCTCAAACCTCCACTAAGTTTTTCTTTTTAGTAATAAGTGGTAAAAATGTAAAACATTTCCCCCAGTTCAAACGATCAAAGGCCTAATTCAAAAAAGCCCAAATGCAAGGACCCCAGTGAGCGGCCACCGGGCGGCGCCAGGGTAGGTCGGCAGTGCGCCCGCATGGTCTGCCCCTTCTCACCGCAGGTGGGCACGTCCTCCTCGGCGGACGAGGTCTGCTCATCGGTGGACGGCTTCTTCTTTCCCAGACCGATGATCTTGGTGATCTTTTTCCCGGTGACTTTAGATACAGTCCCCTTGCCCTCCAATTTGGAACTTTTTTTCCTCTTAACTGTCAAGAATAACGACAACAGAAAAACTGTTTAATTCTAGAGCATAAATTGGAAAAACGTTCAAATAAAGCACCAGTCATAGCCACTCTCTCTTGACAGCCTTTACTTACGGAGCGTCTGCTCTGCACCAGCCTTTGGGGGCGTGGCTAGTGGCTTAGGCGAATTTACTCGGCGGGTCCACCAACAGAGCCAGGACTCACAGTTAACTGTCACACGTGTGGTACTCGCTGGGGACAGTCACAGCTCCCGTGTGGAGTGGTGCCCAGACCTCATTCCCTTCTCTCCATCACTGGCAGGAACAGTAGGACATTCACTAACTCACCCCAAATTCTGCTGCACTAGTTTATCACAGACGGGGGTCTACCCTCCCCTGTGAAAGCAGAGACAGGAGTGCGAAGTCACTCCCTGCAGCTTTGACCACATGGGGTCGGGACTGTGTCCAGGCTCATTCCAGAGACTGACGTTTAGGAGCTGCTGTCTGTCTGAGCTTAGGGTTTTCTCTGTGCAGCCAGCAATTTGTCTGGGTTACAACATGGCTGGATAAAGGGACTTGGACTAAAATCTCTCGGCTCCAAACTGTCAAGGCTGAGCCACAAGACTAGAGGGTAAGAGAAGGTCAGAATAATCTCTGACCATGACGTCCCTGCAGGAACTACCAGGGAAACATCGACTATATACAAAGTCCCGCGCCAGGCAGAAACAGTCTGAGCCAAGGTCACTTCTACAAAGTGTAGAAGGCTGCTCTTCTCTGAGATGAAACAACAAACAGAGCCGCCCCGGAGAATCTGAGACCTGGATATGTTCACTTCCACGTATACTGGGACACGCGTTCATTCAGCAGGGCCGATTTTTACAAGGACCCAGGGAGGGAACAGCAAGCAAGAGACCTACCACTGTGCCTGGGCCCCCCGACAGGGCCCCGAGACTGTACGTTATTCTGCCCAGGGCAGACCTTAAAGACAGCTTTCCTGGCTCTGAGGACACAGACAAGCCCTGTGGACAGCAGGTGATACCTTCCCCCTGAGTCACTTCCCACAGAGAGGACTACGTCGCACTCAGGCATGAATGAGGAGGAAACCACGTGGTCAGGAGCAGGGGCCGGGACCTTTGGGCATGAGCCTTGCCTATCACGATAGCCCGGATTACTCCCATCTAACATCCAGATCATACCCCGTGTGACTGGCCCGGGTTGCTGTTCGGTGCAAGGCGACCTCATGCTACAGCTGGGAGGCACCCTTGCACTCCAGTGCCAGGGCACAGGTCAGCGGGGTGGGCAGGTGCTCACCTGGATGCTGAGGTCCCAGGGGCAGGCACAGAGGCTTCGGCTGGGAAGACTTCCCTGGCCCCCCAGCCCACCCTCCTCTCAGCCTGGTCCACCAACTGGGAAGATTGGAATTAACTACCTGCAGACTGCAACTCCCAAAGACTTGTACTCACAAGACATAAAGTACTCTCTGTCAACACGAAGAAGGAAGAACTAAAAAAAATATAGGCTAAAGACGTGAATGGACATTTTGCCAAAGAGGATGCCTGGACGGCACATGAGCTCATCACCACAGTCACCGTGCCAGTCGAGGGGCAGGTGCAAGTGAAAACTGCAGCTACACAGCCCTGCACCGCTGTTTGAGGGGCCAAAATGCAAACACCAGCACACCGCACAAAACACCGAGGCCGGGGAGGGCCCGGACGACCGAGGAGGCCCACTCAGCACCGCTGGGGCAGTGGAAGCGTGTCAGGCACAACCCCGACTGTGGGTCCACAGCAGCCTCATCCCCAGAGGCTCGGGGCTGCCAACAAGACAGCGGTTCCCTGGCCGGCGAACGGACGTGCTGGCTGTGCGGATTCCTGCGTGCGCTGCAGCCTGGTGCCACCAGAGCCGTGGCGCCGAGTCAGGGAAGTGGACCGAAAGGCTATGTCCACTCACAGGACATTCTGCGAAGGACAGAAAATGGATCTGCAGCTGCCAGGGACATGGAGAGGCAGAGGGAGGCACACAGGCGCACAGGGCACACTTGGGGCCAAAGAAATGTTCTAGCTCTCAACTGGGCATGGTCACACATCAGCATGGGCCAAAACTCAAAGAACTATATGCCAAAAAAGGTGAAATTCACCGTGTGCAACGCACACCTCCATACAGCTGGCTTCAGGAAAAGTTTCGGTATGTGCATGTCCAGAGCAGCATCTCTTACAAGAGCCAATGGGTGGGAACCGCCCAAGCGTCCATCCATAGGTGAGTGATGACAGAACATGGTCCCTCCACACAATGACCACTATTCAGCCCTAGGGGAAGGGGGACCCGACCCCTGTGCAGCCTGGGCGAGCCTGGAGGCCACGAGGGAGCGAGGCGGGCTGGCCGCACGGGGCAGACACGGTGATTCCAGTGATAGGAGGGCCCGGCGGGCTGCCAGAGTGCTGGACACCGAGAGCGGGTGGGGTCCCTGGGGCGGGAGGGAGGGAGCGTTTCAGGGGGACAGAGTGTCCATGTGGGGAGACGGTGGGGACAGCTGCACAGCACTGGAAATGTGCTTAGTGCCGCTGGACACTTAGCAACGGCTAAGATGGTACATTTACGTTGTGTATTTTACTGCGATTCAATTGTTCTGAATGAAGGTAAAGTACATCTTCAGAAACTCTTTTTAACAAACGACCAGAAATCTGTGAGTGTGGCCTCCCCATTATAGAGACGGGGAGCCTGAGGTGCACCAAAGAGGGAAAAGGTGGCCAAGCTGAAGCCGCGGCGGCGACAGGGAGGACACGTGACTCCTGTGCCGTGGTCCGAAGTCCCCCCATGAGAGTCGGCTGTCCCGGTGTTGGGCCAGAGGGCGCTGTCGCCAACCCGCCCCACTGCTAACTCCGGTGGGGCGGTGCCTGCTGTGAGTCAGCGTTTAAATGCACACAGGGCCCCCGTCAGGACACAGGAAAAACCGGGGCTGCAGCCCGCTGGGACAGCCAACAAAGACACAGAGGGGACCTCCAGCTTTCTGTCATGCGACGCAGGACGACGGCCTCTGCAGAACTGTGTCCCCGACACAGCTCACCCCTCGTACACCCCTCAGCCAGCAGGGGTCACGCAGCTGGCTGCAGAGCACCAGCGTCCGGTTTTCTGTTTGTGGTCCACGCCTTTCGGCATGAGCAGAGCTCACCTGGTTCCTTCCCGTCACACACAGCGACTCCGTTTTCTGTGACACCCTCCCCATCCGAGCTCGGTCTCTCTGAGGACAGTTTCTGTGATGACAGAAAGGATGTGGTTATTCTTATGACGGTCATGCCAGCCGAGGGGTGCACTACATCAGGGGTCACTCAAAATCCATCTCAAAGCTGAAAGTGCGGGCCAGATTCAGGGCAACGCGGCCAGCAGGGGGCTCGCTAACCAACCTTGACAAGCATCAGAAGAACACAGACGAGCCCACTGAGGCTACACCGGCACAGGCCCTGCACCAGGATGGTGGTGTTTGGCTCGCTTTTCCCCGTGAGCAGTTGTGGACACACACTAGGATCGTTAAGAACCCACCCCTCACCAAACTGCTACGCTGCGCTTCTAGAGACAAACACTACATCATCTGCTTACTTCTGCCCTCCTGTGAACAACTGGCAAGTGTTGAGTGTCTGCCTGTGACAACTGTGCTCAGCAGGTGCACAGTCGAGCGACTGCCACACCCGTCAAGGGCACCGGGACACTGGCAGCCTCGCAGCCCCGACACCTGGCTGCGGGAGCGTGGTTGGGACGCTCAGGTGGTGTCTGAATGAGAGACCTAGGGGGGAGTTGGGAGGAGGGGCACACGGTGATGGAAGGAGACTGGACCTGGGACGGCGACCACACAGCACAGTATGCAGTCGTGTGTTACAGAGTCGCACACTTGAAACCTGTAATTCATTAGCAAATGTCACCCCCACAAGTCCAATATAGTTTTGTTTTTTTTTAAAGAGACGTCTTTGAGAGCTGGAATGCTTTCCTTCTGAGCAGAGGACCCGTGGAGTCACCACTGGGGCACAGGCCCCAAACTCCACCGTCCCCCGGCCAAGACCCTCTGCATTATCCCCCAGGGCCGCAGACACGCAGGGCAGCACGCAGGCCCCACTCGGCGACAGCTCCAGGCCACACTGGCTGAGGACGGCGGGCAGGTGTCTGGAACCCCACGGCTGTGCTGGGAACAGCGCAGTGCAGGAATGAGTGGCATTCTGTGGGAACGTGGCATGCGCCAAGTTCCAGTGACACAGTGTCTGAGAGTTGGCACTGCCCGCTCTCAGCCAGGACGTGCTCCTGGGAACCAGGTCAACAGGTCTGGCCAGAAACAGGACAGCCTTAGAAACCAAGATAAGCAAGGGACCGCCACCAGGCCCCGTGTGAGTGGGTGGGAGAGAAACTCAGATGCACTGCTGGTAGGAAGTGGAGTTGGACTGGCCGCTTTGGAAAGCAACTTGCTCAGCAGCATGAATCAAAACCTTAGAAAACAATTCTGTCCTTTGGTCTGGTCACCCAGCTTCTAGGAGTCTCTTCTCAGGTGACAGAGAAGCAGCCAAGACTGACAACAAGGTGCCAGGCTATTTTTAAATGGCCAGAAAAGAGCCCTGGCTGGGGGGAGCCTCATCCCAACACACCAGGGTCGCAGGTTCGATCTCTGGTCAGGGCACACACATGAAGCAGCCACTTCTTTATGCGTTCACTGCACGAAGAATTGGAACAACAAATCAACGTCTCTTTCTCTCTAAAACCAATTAAAAAACCATGAAATAAATGGCCAAGAATAAAATAAGAAGGGTGTAAGTTGGGAGTGGGGGTAATACAACAGAGTCATGAGTTTCATATCATTTAGTTGCTGAAAGTACAGCAACACCAGGGGCTTGTTACGAGTGTAAAGAGCCTGGCAAACTGGCAACAGTGGAAGGGCAAGTGGAAAGACGGGGCGCGCCACTGCCGGGCAGCGGGGCACCCGAAGGGTGAGAGACACAGGAACAGGAGGAGCTGGTGAGACGCGCGGTGCCGAGGGCGCTGCGTCCTGTGTGGTGGACACGCTCCCGCGGGACCCCGACCCCGTCTGGGTCTCTGCACGTCCTCGGCCTTGTACAGCCGGCAGGTGCTGCTTTAGTGGCCACACCCACAGAGAGCAACGGCCTGCAGTACTGGGTGAGGCTGCGAGGTTAACTCAGGTGGCATCTCGGAGGGTGTTCCGGATGAGACCCACACTTCAGATGGGAACTCTGAGCAAAGCAGACTGCGCTCCCCAGTGTGGTGGGCCTTGCCCAAGCACTTGAAGGCCTGCCCAGAACAGAAGGGCCTGCATCCCCGAGCCCAGGCGAATTCTCTGGCAGAGGACCTCAGACTTCAGCTGCTGGAAGACACGGCAGATTTTGAACTTGCCATCCTCCATAATCCCATGAGCCAACTCCTCAATATAAATCTTACACAAACAATTCCCTGTAGAAATCACATACAAATATATGTACACACACACACACACACACACACATCACCCCTCTGCCCCCCGGTGGTTATCTTTCTCTGGAGGATCTGCACTAAAACAAGAGTGGACCAAAAGGGCCTGGTCCCTGGCAGGAGCTACTCAGGCGGGACCCAGGAAGCCCCCAGGACTCAGCTCCCCAGAGACCACTGAGGGGAGGGACCAAAGGTCCCCGTGGACATGCAGTCCCCACAGGGACAGAAGCCCAGAGAGAGCTGGACGTGTGGCGTGCCACAGATGGATTCATGTGTTTCTGACAAGAAGGGCCAGCCCCCGCCCCACACTGCTGGGCCCTCGCTGGGCCTTCCCACAGGCAGTGGGTCGGGCAGACAGGGCCAGGGCTCGAAGCCTGCTCTCCGGGGAACCACCCTCTGGGGAGGCATGTTTCCCCAGAGCCTGCTGTGTTCCTGAAGGGCGCGGATCTCAGTCTGCCACAGAACAGCTGGGTGACCTTGAATGAGGCCCTCAACACCTTCCATCCATTTCTTCGTCTAGAGCTGGGACTGACACAGCCGACCACACGGTCTCTAACACGGCCAACTCGAGCGTCGCGCACCAAGCGGGCCCTTGCAGCGCACAGGAGCAGGCCTGCCTCCTCTCTCTCTTTCCACTACAAGGGCTGGAAGTCTCGGAGAACATGCTGAGGGCGTTCGGGGGAGCCCAAAGCCTCCGTGAGGCCACCGGTTCCAGAGAGAACACACTCCTTACCTTCTCCAGTTCTGCCTTGGGCACGGGCGAGTTTGATGGGGGGGGACATTCAGAATCCACAGGCCCACTGCAGCCGCTGTAGACTTCTTTGACCACCTGTAATAAGTGTGACATTTCTGAGTGTGTCCAAAGGCAGAGACACCTATGCGAGCAGTCGAAGCTTGAGATGAATGGGGGTGCACTGAGCAGCAGGAAGCTCGTGGGTGCCAGGCACTCACTGTTCGTACAGGTGCCCACGCCCCAAGCGTCTACCGCTGCTGGTGCTGACTCAGACTCTGGGGGCTGCGGGGGAACCGCGTGTGCGAGCGAGGGTCCTGCCTGCACTGGGCCCCCGCTTGGGAGGACAGAGGGATCACGTGAATAGTGAGCATCGCCCACGGTGCGGGTGGCGCGAGGCCGTGGTGCGTGCCCCAGAGAACGAGTGGCCCTGGCCCAGGAGGCATGGCTGCTTTAGAGAAAGAGCTCACGAGAGGCCTCGCGGGGCTGGCTGGTCTGAGCCAAATGGCCAGAACCAGCCATGAAGAACCAGTGGGAAGGGTTCTAGGCCCGGGGAGCGGCAGGTGCAAAGGTCTGTGGCAGGTGTGCGGTGTTCAGGGACAACCCACAGAGCGGTGGGGCAGGAAGTCAGGTGGGAGAGGCGGGGGAGGGGAGCTGAGTCACACAGCGCCCCCGGGGGGGGGGGGGAGAGGGGTTGTCTGAGTGCGGAGGAAGCCCGGGAGCCCAGCAGTCTGGGCAGCAGCACAGCACGGAGCTCGAGAGCGGCTGCGGAGCCTTGCTGCCCGGGTCTGCCTGGGGCTCGCCTGGCACAGACTAAGGAACAAGCTTCAGCTCTCCTGTCTGAAAAGTGCAGATGGAACAATCCTCCTAAAATTAAATGCCTTGAGACAGTGCCTAAACCGTAATGAACTTTCAAGTATCATCAGGTGCTAGAGAGCTCTTATTGTTACGGGAAGAGAGAATGATGGGGTGCCAGAAAAACAAGTATAGAAAAACGAGAACAAGGTTGGTGCTGGAGGTCTAGGGACATGAGGAGATGGCGGGTGGACTGGAGGGATGGTCCCAGTGATGGAGAGGAGGGGAGGGACTCGGGACGAGTTCTGGAGGAAGACGCGGCAGGCCCCATACGGGGGTTAGACATGGGGCATGAGGGAAGGGGCCCCGTCTGAGACAGCACCCAGACTCCGTTTACTCAGCTGGAGCAGACAGAGAGAAACAGGCTGGCGGGAGGGGGGCCGGGCAGGTATGTTTGCAGGTGAAGAAAAACTTCCAGTTGGGGCTGGAAATAAACTAGGGAGTTGGGGGCAGAAGGCCTGGATGGAAGGTGAGACGGAGCAGACCGGCGTCCTGGAGAAAGACCCAGAGCCGGTCAGCTGGTGGGGCGGAGCCAGAAAAGGAGGCTGGTGGGAGTCTGTGAGGGCAGGAACAGCTGGCAGGGACAGCTGGCGGGGGCAAACTGAGAGGGTACACTCAGCGGAGCAGGGGGGAGGAGGGAGAAAGCTGGGAGACAGCCCAGGAGAGGGACACCCCTGAAGTTTGTGTGTAAGGGAGGCAGGAGGAGGGGCTGAGGGTGGAGGGGTGAGTGAAGCCTGCGGAGCCAGGAAGGCGGAATGGCATGTGGAGAAGGCAGGGAGTGCGTTTGGTGCCAGGAGTCAGAATGCCCCCGTCGGACCGGCTCTGGTTTCTCAGTGACTGGTGAGGTGAGGCAACAGTCACTGGCTGCAAGTCACACCCTCCCCGGGCCTTGGTTTCCTCCCTAGCAAAGGAAGGAGGGTCAAGATGACCCATCTCGCTACTTATCCCTGGTTTCATTAAGAGACCAGGGGACCCTGGTACAAACAGCCCAAGCCGGCGTCTGGCGTGTGCCGCTGAAAACGCGGCAGCTGCTGCCATCCTGCACACAGCCTAGGTGAGCATGTTCTGTGGCCTGGGTGGGGAGGAGGACGACCCCAACCGAAAGCTACAGGTGGGGGGTCGGCAGGAGGTGCACCGGTGCTCACGGCCGCCCCCACAGTCACCCACTGTCCTTCCACCGTGCCCGAGCACCGGACGGGAGCTGCACGTGGCTGATGGCCGGGGACATGCTGTAGGTCCCGGGCCGGTGGCACACTCTTCTGACAGGAACACTGGCAGACAAATCTTTCCCAATGTCTTCTATGCTTTTTGGAGCAAAGCTGCAATTTGAGTTCAACCCAAGTGCCTTCTGGGCAGGAAAAACAAAACAAAACACGCCCCAGCCCAGACACCTGTGCAGCAATCTGCGGCATGGCCTCCGGGACCCTCCAAGTTCACCAGGACGGGGCCAGGGACTCCCAGCCGGGACAGTGTCTCCAGCCATCTTGCTGCTGGGCTATCCTATGAAAAATTGGAGCAATGTCCACATCTGAGGCCGAAGCAGGAAAAGAGAGGAAGAAATGGCCCGGGCAGCCCGCTGCAGGGCTGTCCTTGCTGGCACTGAGGGCAGCGTCAGCCCAGGGGCTCGATCTCATCTCTCTGCTTCGTGCTGACCTCACCACTGTTTCCGAGGGTTTTTACTCCCTCCCCCCCCCCCCCCGTGTGCTCATCAGGTCTTTAGGGCAGAGGGCAAACTTTCTTTCATTCCGGAGATTCTAGCAGAAGTCTACGATACAATGGGAACTCGCGGGCGTTTGTGTCAGACACAGCCAGGGTTTGAGCCCCCATTCTACCCTTTCTTTCAAACGTGACACCGAGCAACCCCGACTCTGAGCCTTGCCTCCCCCTTCCAGAAAGTGCACAGGCACGCCTGGGGGCAGCTGCAGCGTCCAGCCCAGTCCTTCTCCCAGCACTGGAGCTCCTTTCCCGAGATTAAAGCATTAAGTGAAAATGTTGGATTGTGCAGACGACCCTAAAGCGCACGAGCTCTTTGTTTTGCAGGGAGAAGCTGAGCCCACACACCCAGCCTGCAGGGACCCATCTACAGCCCGGCTGTCTCACTCTCCTTTTCAGTGGCGGGGCATGGACACAGCCCTTTGGCCGCACTGCTCCGGCTACTCCCACCAGACACCGGGCTGCAGTCCTGGGAACGGTGACTTCGGAGGTCATGTGCTTTATAAGACTTGTCCTTCCAGACTCGGCCTAGATCTCACATGACCAGAAAGTCCACTCCAACCTCCAACGACGGGAGATGGTACGGCTGCCCCCTCCACGTGCTACAGCCAACCACGTGCTCCAGTCAGACGCTGGTTCCAAGTGCATCCAGTATGTATGGATCTGTCCCTTCCATAAAGCTGTGCTCATTCTTACACAAGGGCCACACTTTCTTACATGGGTGTATTCTCAACACCTAGCACTTAAGAACAACTAAAAAAGTAGTCTGATTAAAGAAAAGGGAATGAAGACGTAAATTGGACTTGAAATGTTCTATGGGAAAAAAAGAATGAAAAAAAAAACAGAAAAAGAAAGCTGGCTGGCACATAAAATATATGAACACTCATGACAAACCTTCCCAGTCTGCACAGATTTCTGAAACCCTCAAGGAACACACACCTTTAAGAGGAGGAAGGGCCTGCAGCACCAGTACAGCCCGCCCTGGCTGCCATTATTGTGGGCACAGCACTCGCTCTGGCCACTAGACTGTCCCCATGGCTCTCACCTGTTTCCCATCAAGTCCCACTGGCCAGCAGAGCTACGGGGACCTGAGCCGTCACTGAAGTCACCAGGTGACCTTCTTGAGCCACCGAAGCTGGCTGATGGACTTGCCTTCCCTGGGAAACCCGCCCTGACACCTGTGCGCTGTAAGCACCCCGTGAGAGTCTCTCTCACTCCCCTGCTCCCGCTCCGGCTCCCCGTGCAGCACGGCCTCTCCTCCCAGAGCTCGGTGGGCCGGGCAGACCCGGGCACACTGGCCAGGTGAGGGGTGGGCGTGCATCCCGGCATCACAAGGTGATTCAACCCTTCCCCAGACTGGATGACAGGAGCATCCCAGGACGGGGAGTGGCCTGAAACGGTCTCTACTCTGGTGTCTGTCTGTGGCCGATCGGCCCCTGCAGAGTTATTAGGAAGTAAGGAAAGGCTCATCGCCCACACGCGTGGGCAACCTGGACAAGGTTTCTGAACTTCTTATTTCATTTTAAAGAGCCATGTTCCGTGAGAAGTTCACTATGTAGTTAAGAGAGTTGAATCTAATTCGGAATCACAAACCCTTCAAAAACGAATTGTTACATGCTCTGTGGTACATTTGTTTGCTTTTAGTTCGAGCCCTGCCCCTCAGAAACCCAGTCTGCGACATTTTTAAGGAAACCCGACCACTCCGTTTCTGGGAGTGCTGGCTCTTGTGCTCTGCCTGCCCCCAACAAAATGGCTCATGTTTTTGGCATCTGCACACACAGTCCGTTAAGTGTGGCGAGAGCCACTGGTGACGGAAGCGGACGGCCGAAGGAGAGGGACAAACACGGCTCGGCGCCGGCAGGAAAGCGTACCGCACCATACTGCACTGTGCCACGCGGCGCACACCCTGGCTGACCGGCCCTCCCACCCTCGTGCCTAACAAAGGGCCGGGTGCCCTGCTGGATAGAGACCAAGGCCATGCAGAAGCTGCATCCCACATATTAGCAGCCTGGAGCTACCACTATGCAAAGGTATCAGAAGAAAACACGGGATTAAATCTCCAAGCTTTGGATTACACAGCAGTTGCTTGGCTCTGACACAAAAAGCCGCACAGAGAAATGCAGTGCCGCCACACGCTACAGTGTGGAAAGGCCCTGAAAGCATGGTGGCAAGTGACAGAGGCCAGTCACACAGGCCACGCTGCCCAAGGGCACTTACATGAAATGTGGAGAACAGGCAACCCCCTGGGGACAGAGGGCAGATGAGTGGCTGCCTGGAGCTGGGGCGGGGGCGGGGCAGCTGCTGTCGGCAGATTTCTCCCCAGGGTGACGGGCACGGCAGGTAGAGGGAGGCCCAGCCAGCCAAGCCTGCCATGCGCCTGCTACAGATGCTGAAAGTCAAGCAAACGCTCCCAGAAGAAACCTCCAGAAACCCTAGAACTAAAAACTGCCACACCAAACTTAAGAACACACTGAACAGGAACAAAGTTAACAGCAGGTTAGATGCAGCTAAAGAGAGAAATGGGCAGCTGGGAAATAACAAGAAAAATTACCCGGACTAAAAGCTTTTTAAAAGGGAGACAGTAAGTAACAAAGCAAAGATAAGAAGTTTAATGTACTGAAAAAGTCTAACATATATTTAAACATAGTTGGGGGAGAAGAGGAAAGAGGGTCAAGTTATATTTTAAGAGAAATGGCTGAAAATTTTCCTGAAACCTAGAAAGATGACAGGCCACCGATTTCAGAAGCCTAAGGAATCCCAAGCAGAGTAAATAAGAAAGAGCTCATATCCAGGTACAAAAAAGTGAAACTAGAAAATCAGAGAGAAAGTTCTAGTCACATCCTGCAGATAGGGACCAGGCTGCCTTTTGAAGACGAGTTGGAGTGATTTAAAGTAATCAGAATAACCCACAATCGGAGACCAGACTACTCGGGCTAGCCTGTGTTGGCGTGTGCTTGAAAAGGCGTGAGTCAAAGCAGAAACGGGCCCCGGAAACAGCGCCGACAACTCACCCTCAGCCACTGCTCAGCCTGCTCCCTGCTTTGCACCGCCAGCACGAGGGCGTCTGTGCCCTGCTGAGTGATTTTCAGCTCATGCTTCTTCTTCTTGCCGTCTTTCGGGATGTAGGTGATGCTGCAGCCCGGGAGAGGCAGCTCCATCTGCGGCTGCTGGTCCTTGGAACTCTTATAGCACTGCACGCAACAGGGAGAGCCCAGTCAGGCCACGCGGGAGGTCCCACACTGAGAAAACTCGGGCCCCGTGGAAACGGGAGTGTGGGCGTGGCGTCCAGGGGTCAGACCGAACGGTGGGGACACTTGGCAACTGGAAAACAGACCTGCAGGCTCCCTGCTGTCCTCACTGCTCCACACCCACACTCCGCACACATGGAATACATCTACTCATTTCGTTCCGCCACGTCCACTGGCCATCCATGAGATGACCTGGCAGGAGGCAGAAAGGCCCTGCCAGCCCGGGCTTATGTCCTCACGGAGCTTTCCCAGTGAGCTGCATGGAGGCAGTTTCTCAGATTTGCTGAAACAACACAGCCGGGATACTCTGTTCCATGACCTGTTGCTGGCGTCCACCCATCTCACTTCTGTCCTCTTTCTGAAAGAATGATTTCAGTAAGGGTATAAACAGCAGCACCCAACAGACGGAAATGTCTGCTAAGGTCTGCTTTTTCGGTGAGTAGGGGACCCCACGCTCACGCTGCACCATTCACACACCTGCACTCACTCCACAGACCTCACTGCTGGGGAAACTGAGACCTAGTTCCCATCACCCCTGGGGTTTGGGACACCTGGGGCCACACCTCTGTCCAGAGGCACCCAGCCTGCCATGGTTCAAGTGTGTCCCTGGTGCCTGCAAGCATGCCTTTTCGTGGACACACGTGTGCCCACAGAGGAGGCCAGATACCTGCGTCCTCCTCTCCTACTAATTCAGTCTGGGCCTGGGAAGTTCCTTAAGCTCTCAGAGCCTGTCTCCTCACCTGTAAAATGAGCTATTGTCATTTTCCCGAATTATATTATTATAACAGTAACACCTATTACCAAGTCTGCAGTATCACCGTTATACAAGGCCTCCCGGGCACCTGCGTCTTGCAGGTGCCTGCTCTGCAGACAGAGTTGACCCTGGCCAGGAACTCAGTCCCCTCACCCGACTTGGGTTCAGTAACTTGCCACAGTCAGGCGACTGGGCGAGCGGCAAACCCGGACTCCGGCCCCACGCCACGTGAGTTCTGTTCCCCTGACCCTGCCACCCACAGACAGAGACGAGCAGACGCCCATGCTCAGGAGTGATGACCGATGGCTCCACAACCATGCCTCTCCAAGGGCACGCCAGTGGAACAGATCAACTTTTTAAAAAAGTTCAGCTGATGGTTCCTCTGTCTTTTTAAAAAAGAACAAAACTGCACCCAAACCAGCTAAGATCCGCTGGCTGAGTGTCCACCAGGCACCTTGCGTTCCGCTTCCTGAGGAAGGCGAGGAGGGAGAACGCGGTGCAGAAAGGGAACTTCACCTTAGGCTTCCCCGAGGTCCAGCGCCTCGGGACAGGCACTTCATCGGTGATCTGACCCACTGCCACCGGGAGGTGGGAACAGGGGTGGCTCTAGGGCAGCTGGCTCGCAACCGAGCTCGGCACACAGGACATTCGCTTGGCGGCACCCTGGAGGGCGACTCCTGCAGGAGGGCAGGAAGTGGGCCCAGCCAAGGACGGAGCTGAGCCACAGGGCCATTCATTTAAAGGCCTCGGTGGGAAGACCCCTGGGGCTCTGGAGCTGGAATGTGCCATCACGTTGTCCCAAGAGTCTGGGCCTTCACATCCAGATGTGACATCAGACACAGACCCACTGGGAAGGAATCATGACCTTGGATGAGATGTCTGCTTGGACCCCTTTCTGCAAGTGAGGGGATGGGCCCTTGGGGCCTGAAGGGGGCTCTGCGCCCCCCGGAGTGAGGAGTGACACGGGTGTGCCTGTGGGCACGCAGCTGGGGAGCACTGGAGGCCAGAGCACGGCGGCGGTTCCCTGCAGTGTCTGCACTGTTCGCACTGGGAAAGCATGTGCCACTGCGGCCACTGCCCACCTTTTTTCAACATCAACAGGGTCATCTGGGTCACAGGCTGTTTCAGAACCAAAAAACCTCCACAGCAGAAGTAGCTAGCTTCGACTCTGCACTTCCCTGAGGACAGCACGTCCACGCGGTGTTCCATTAGTCTCCTCGGAGGCAGCCAGCGCCACTGCACACGGCAGGTGTCACCGGCCCGGCCGTGAGGGCGGGCCTCCAGGCAGGAGGTGGGAGAAGCGAAGAAAAAGGCGGGGACCCAGAGGGCAGTAGTGGGGTGAGCGTGAGGACACAGCGCCTCCGAGCTGCAGGCCCCTGCGTGCAGCAGGCTCCCGCGCACGCTTGGCACGGCTCAGCCACGGGCCCCCTGGGTATTGTCAGCACGTCTGTCTGTGCGACACACCCGCGTCCTGCAGCCACCGTGGCAGGTTGTTAGTAAGTGCCGTGTTCATCCTTCTTGTCTTCTCCCCCCATCCTTTATTTTAAAATTCCCATGGCATCATCTTTGGCATACTCTGAATTTGGGAAATTTCAAGCCATGCATGTGGAAAAAACATGTATTCTTGCTGTATTTTAAAAAAATTGAACAAAACCACTAATTAAGCAATATACAATGCCCTAAGAATCTAGTAAAATAAGATTCCCATAATTCTCGGATGAATCTATAAAAAGCTATCTGCCCCTCTAAAAGAGACATACAAAAACATAACTGTACATGAGTTCTGTTTTCATGATAGAGTTCTGAGCCATTTTTCTCCTCAAGATTTGAAGAAAAAATGAAAAGCAAAAGCATACTCTAAAATTCATAATTCTAACAATCAATCAAGGTTTCTAAAGCTGGGAAGGCAGGTGGGAAGGAGGAAGGGAGAGAAACCTGCTAGAGCAAGACACAGGGGAGGGGAGGGGAGGGGAGGGGAGGGGAGGGGAGGGGAGGGGAGGGGAGGGGAGGGGAGGGGAGGGGAGGGGAGGGGAGGGGAGGGGAGGGGAGGGGAGGGGAGGGGAGGGGAGGGGAGGGGAGGGGAGGGGAGGGGAGGGGAGGGGAGGGGAGGGGAGGGGAGGGGAGGGAGGGGAGGGGAGGGGAGGGGAGGGGAGGGGAGGGGAGGGGAGAAAGAAAAGAAAGGGAGAGAACAGCTCTGTAGCTTTCCAAAAGAATTTCCTGTCCCGGCAATGTCCCCCAGTGGCTGGCCACCCTCCCCCTTCTCTGACCTGGCTTTAAGGAATCCACTGACTCACTAGGATGAGAAAATCCACCCTGCAACTTCTGGCAGGTTAAGCACTATGCCTTTCCACAGACACAAACCGCAGACACCGCCAGGAGGGGAGGATTTTGCCCACTGCTCGCTTTAGGGAGCTGGAAAAACCCCTGCATTAAAGACTTGGCTGTGTCCGCCAGCGCCAGCTGACAGCCTACCGGGGCCAGCGTGGGCCGGCGCCAGACACTGCTAGCGTTCCGTGGGCTCGGAGGCCTGTGCTCCCTCTCCCCCGTGCGATGGCAGTGCTGCGGGTGTCAACGCCAGCACGTGAGGCTGCCAAGGAGGTGGCACCATCTTGGCACAAGAGCGATCAGCTCACTAGGCTGACTCACCAGTAGCTTGGTGTCCTTGATGACGCAGAGCAACTTGGTCCACTGTCCGAAGCGCTTCTTGCGCAGCAGGAAGGCGCAGATCTTGGCGTCCTTCACCAGGTCCATGGAGGCCTCCTCCGAGGGCCACTGGTGTCGCATTTTCTTCCCCTTTCCATCCTCCTCCTCTTCATCGTACGATTCATAAGAGCTACTCATCGCATCCGAGTCATAATCTGTCCGAAAGAGAGAAAGGTAAAGACCTCGCTATGAAAACCTCACCTGGGCCCAGGGTGTGCTACTCTGCCCACACGCTGGAGGCACCTTCACCGGGCACCTGGCGTGCTGGGGAGACGCCCACTCGTGTGGACAAGGAAAAATGGCGCCTAGACGTGGGCAGTGGAAACTCAATGGAGGGTTTTCAAGTAAAGTGACTGGAAGTTCTGCATGGAGAAAAACCATTTGCAGACTGTTCAGTATGGCTGGGCACCTGGCAAACCGTGCCTTGTGGAAGCCTCGCCATGGTCTTGCCAGGCGGGCCTTGCCCCTGTTCTGTGGTGCGTCCCGCCCACCGAGACCCTGGGCCATAGAGCTCCCCGTGCCCCCGTGCCCACACCTTCACGTCCAAGTTCTTTCTAGGCTGTGACATGCTACTGCCTGTTGGCATCGCCACATGCACAAGCCCTTCCTACTGTTCAGATCCAGCCCAAGGCACCCAACCTTCGGGTCACCCTCGGACTTGAGACGACACTCACACCCCGTCTCACTTTGCACCGTGGGAACAAAGCCACCTGCCGAGGCTCCAGCCCCATGCGACTGACTGGGCTGGAGAAAGAGCTTCCCGAAGAAACGAAGGTTTGATGAGGTTGCAGGGTAGAGTCCCATGCTGAAAGGCTGTCCCTGCCCTGTGAGGACCCAGGGAGAAGGCACCGCCCGTGGGCCAGGAAGGAAGAGAGCTCTCACCAGGCCGGACTGCACCACACGCTGGTCTCGGGCTTCCCCGCCTCCGGGCCGTGAGAGCGAGAGCGTGAGCGTGAGTGGCTGGTGGGCAGCTGCTCGGCCTGCGCCGCTTTGCTGGGCCTGCCCGGGCTGATGCTGGGCCAGACGCCCTCCCGGGGCGTCTCCACACCAGCCAGCAAGAAACTCGTCCCGCTGCACTGTCATGGCCGTCCGGCCGTCTGTCTGTCTCTAGCGGCGGGCCGTGAGCCGCCCGAGGAAAGGGAGACCGCCTTGTCAGAAAGGACTGTCCCGGCAGGCACAAAGCACCCAGCGCAGGGCCAAGCACAAAAGTTTGTCGAAGGAAGAACTGTGAGGTGACTTAAAGTCCCCCTGCGCCCTCCAGGGACGGCCGGCTTTGTCAGGTATGCTAAGCCCCAGGGACCGCAGGACTGGCGTCTGACATCAGCGCTGCAGGAGGGCACGCTCTTTGGGGCCAGGTCCCATTCCTCTACATCCCCCTCCCCCGACGCGTCGGGAAGGCATTCGCTTCTCTAGCCTGTCTGAGGAACGAACCTGAGCCCTAACGAATGACAGGTAAGGAGACACTTCGACTGGAGCAATGGGCTACAGGCAGGTGACTGAAGAGGTACCTCTGGGGAAAGCACCGAGAAGGGCTGAGTCAGGGTGACAGAGGGGGAACCACTTAAGGTGTCTGTGTAATGCCATTGCTGAGGCCAAGGAGGCCAAGCAGAATGTGGGAGATGGCCGCGTGGCACTGAGGACCGTGGTCACCGTGGTCAGTGAACGAGCGAGAACGGTCTAGGCCATCCCTGGCACAGCTGCACATAGCCTTTCCGCCCTGCAAAGGGGGTGGGAGGGAGTCACCAGTACCAGCCAGGACAATGGCCGCTGGAGGAGGAGGCTGAACTGGCCGCGAGTGTGCCCTCCTGTTTCGATTGGCATACATCTGTGCGGGATCACCAAGTTCCTTCCTTCACCACTCCCAGTCCCCTCCCCTCAGCCTAAGAAGTGCTAACAGCAGCTAACTGTGGGTCGCAGTGTTTAAGTGACAGGTTCTTGATGGGGGCAGTATGACTCAGCCAGGACCGAGGGTATTCCCTACCCAGAGTGGAAGGGCAGACCTCAGGGGCACGAGGGAGTTCCCGGCACACAGAGGCCGGGGCACCATGCCGTGCTGGACCACGACAGAGCCGCTGCCTTCACTGGGAGGTCACTGCCTCAGAGCGGCGGTGCCAGGCGGGCGGACAGTCGTGGTGGAGGTTTCCAATGGCGTCACCTCGGTGAGGTTGGCATGATGTTTCCCGAAGGCCCCACTCCTTGACAATTCTGCGTTCGGGCCAGCCACGAGCGAGGTCAGCAAGCTATGTGGAAGGCAGCAGCGGCTGCTGCCCTGCGCCTTCAAGGTCAGTGTGGTGCCAGGCACAGCAGGCACAGGCGTGCACCCTGGTCACAGATGGCTGGCCCTCCGTGCCGGCGTGAGCATTCACAGACGGGCCTGTGGCTCCTGCAGGCTCTCTTCTGAGTCCTGGGCCAGGTGTGTGCAGCTCCATCCACAGGACTGCTGGCCACCCGTGTCTCCGGGTTTAGAGTGAGTGAGAGACGGGAGTGGGTCTCAGTGGGTCGTTCCTCTTCCCCAGTCCTCACCCAGCCTTCCTTCCCGAAGACCGGCCACCACAGACGGGCCCCGAGGTGCTGCAGGCTCCTCCTCGGTCCCCACCTGGCACCGGGCCTCGCTCCACAGGAGGATGTTCCCCCACAACACTCGTGAGTTCCGACGCAGGATTCCACAGGCTGGGCAGAGCCCACGGGGAGTGGACCAGCAGGGCCCTGGCCTGATCTGCCCGTCCACTCGCTGCCACTGTCCTTGGGGGCAGGAGGGCAGGCCAGGTGACCACAGAGTGCGGTCACAGAAGCCAGAGGGTGCCGTCAGCGCCGACTGGCTGTCCTGAGCCTGAGTCCCTTTCCTTCTTTTGGAATTAGTTCACCAAAGTGTCCAGCAGTCAACAACTAAGGAGTGGCTTCTCTGAGGGACGGGACAGGACACATCGGGGACATGGGGCTTCTCAGGCAGAAAGTTACTGGAGGCCCCAAAAGTCCCGCCGAATTATTACGCATTCCTAATCTTGAAAGGCTCGAACTGAATGTTCCAAATGCTGGGAAACACCCTCATCAGAAGGAAAAAGTTGTTTTACTCGTTGCTATTGGAGAGAAAGGAATCCAGGGAGGTTAATTACGTCGAGCCATTTAATTTTTTGTTTCCTAATCAGTGTCCTAACTTCTGAGGCAGCGGACGCAGGCATGGCTTGGACGAGGTCTCCCGAGTAGCCCTTTGGTGGCAGAGAAAGAGAGGGCTGACCTACCGACCTCGAGGTGGCTGCCCCACCTCCTCAGCTGAGCTGAACCTTCCTGCCCCAGAGCTGAACCAGCGCTTGCTGCACTGGGCTGAGTCCTGGTCAGACTTTCCCGGGAGCTGAGAACACAGGCCCGGGGGAGCCAAGAAAGGAGCCGGCACCTGGGCTTCAGCACGTCCCCTCCGGGTCAGGAAACAGGCCGGGGGCAGGCAGGGGGCTGGAATAGCCGAGTGAGGCTCTGCTTGGCTGACAGGACTGCTGGGTGCTGCTGCTGGGGCAGATGAGCAGGACACTGCAGGTCGGTACACTGCCGAGACTCAGGGGACAGAGGTCGAGAAGAGGACAGCCCTGGCCTGGAGGAGAGGTTGCACAGCAAGGCATGTGAGGCAGGCGGCACCCGTGGACACTCCACTCCTGGGCTGCAGCCTCCCCTCTGTCACAGCCACGGCCGGCTGGGCCCTCGGGGGACATGCGCTCAGCCCCTCCACTTCATGGAGGCATGGCCACCCACGGCCCACAGAGCGCGGAGAGGAGAATGAGGGCCAGGGCTGCAGGAACGCACCCCGGGGCCCGTTCGGGAAAGGCCGCCGCGTCGGCGTGCCGCCCTGGAGCCGGACCGGGAAGCGCGGCTCTAACGGAGGGAAGGGCCTCTGACAGGCCCTGTGCAGGCAGTGAACGGAGTCGTGCCAAGACCGAGCGCCCTAACCTGGGCAAAGCCGTTCCGCCCGCACCTGTCTGGACAGAAGAAATGCCTGGTGAGGTGCCCATCTGTCCCCAGAGACTCAGCCCTGGGGGGCCACTCCCACCGCGGAACTGTGAACGTGGCCAGGGGCACAGGCCCGTGAGCACATGCCACAGAAGGCATTCCCCTCTGACCAGAGGGGACACATGCCACCAGAGAGCACGTTTGGACAGCTACGAGACTTCACTAGGGCTGGGTCACAGCAACCTGAGTCCCCAGAGGGACTGGGAAGACACTTTTGACCTTTCTGAGCCCTCTTTGCACTTACCTCTGTGGGTTCAGAACTGACTTCACTCCACACTGGCACATGGTTTGGGACGCCCCGTCCCCTCGTGCCCAGAAAGGCTGGGCTCTCCCACAGCCCGCCACCCTGAGGCCAGCGGCGGCCAGCGGACCCAACACTCACTTGAGGTGATGTATTCTGGAGCCTTCCCGGGACTCAGGGGCACGGCCTCCTCGTAGTAGCCCTCTGGGAGCGAGGACGTGGGCAGCGGGGGCGGCCCACTGTCAGGCGGCTGAGGGACAGAAGGAAATGACAGCATCACTAGAAGCCCCGGTTCCTGCCCAGCAGGTGCTGGCTGCCGACTACCTCTCGCCTCCAGCAGAAAAGAACGGCAACCCAGGGAGAGGTTCCATGGTGCGCTCCTGAGTGGGTCTCTGTGACCTTCCTGCTCCACCCACCCCAGCCTGAACCCCCTGACCCAGCAGAACGGGGTGATGCGCATCCCCAGAGCTGACACAGGTGTCTCTCCTACTTGGCCCCACAGCTGCACCCACACTGCTGAGCTGCTGAGGTCTCCAGGGCCAGGTGACTTCTCCAAAGCCCATGCCACCAAGCTGGGAGCTGGAGGGTGCTGCCCCCACCCCGGTGCTCCTCACAGACACATCAGGTAGGGAAGAGCTGAATGAATGAGGCAGGCGTGCCCACCCTCTCCCCATGCCCCTAATGGTGCCACGGACACTGGTAAAAAGAAACACCTACAAGCCATTCTCTAGGTGGAACTGGAACTCCTCCCTGGAGAAGGAACCTGCTCGTTACCAACGCCAGTCCCAGCAGTTTCCCGTCAGACTCGGAGACCAGGGCCTAGCAGCACGGCACGGAGTGCAGGGCTGTCCGGGCTCCACGCAGCCGCAGGACCCAGTGGATCCCCTCCCTCCCACGCCCCACTCCCCAGCACGATGACTCTGCTGTGCGCCAACCTCCCTTCCTGTGAGCACCTGCAGGTCCACCGCCTGCCTGTCACTGGTCCTGACGCCCAGAGCAAGGGTCGAAGGGAGGGGAGGCCAACGCTGGCCAACCCTGGGGTTCGCCTGGCACTGCACTAAGTGCCGGGCCCTGGTTACCAGCTGCATCAGCCGGTCCGTCAGGAACGCTCCAAGCCAGAGTACAGACCCTTACATTTGGCAGATGTGGGAAGTGGGCTCGGTGGCTTGGTAGCTCAGAGCCTGTGCAAGAGCAGACGCTGTGCAGCCACAGAGCTGGGGTCTTTGAACACCTGGCCTGCCCACTGCAGACCTTTCTAGCATACACACTGCCTCTTTCCCCCTCTGTGCCGCAGTCACGCTGCCCGTGCTCTGTGAGCAACCTGGGACAGTGTCGCCGAGAACGGAGCACAGGCCCCAACTGAAAGATCTGTCACGGTAAGTTCCAAATGCAACGATGTTCCAAACAAGCCCTGTGGCTTTACACGTAGTCTCAGGAATGTGGCATCTTCCCCTTCCCATGTGACCCACCCGACTGCAGGACGCCTGCCAAGGTGCCCTGGCAGCCCCGGTGCTCTCAGGCCACCCCGTCCTCTCACCGGATGTAGAAAGATGATCTGCTAGGCTCATCAGCACTATGCCCCTTCCTGCGCTCGAGGGCAGGGACCCCTCACTCCCAGGCCCATCCCCTCACTAGCAACCCTGGCCCCTGTACCCCCCGCCCCCAGGCTGCTGTGTTCCCCCACGTGGCACCACCCCAGTTGCACAGGGCCCCAGACCAGGCCCTTCCCATCAACCCAAAGAGGCTGCACTTCCCACGGAACCCAAGACACAGCTCTGGGCCCCAGGGGAGGTCTGAACGGCAGTCCGTGCCAGGTTAAAACCTCTGCTTGTTGCTTTTGAAAGACAGCAGTGCGGTTCACTGCGTGTCTGTATTTGTGAAGTGGAGGGGGCTTTGCCCTCCTCCGGCTGGGCTGACTCACTTGTGCCCCGGGAGGCCTCTGCAGAGAGCAGAACTGAACACGGAGCTGGGGCGGACACACCCCCAGTGCTGCGAGCTACGTCGAGTGCACCTGAGCTGCCTGCTCCCAGCGGATGGACTTTCACCAACTTTCAAACCCTGCTGGTGGCCATGCATCACACGCAGTTTCAGTGGGCATTTGCTCAGGGCCAAGAACTCCATTCTGCAGACACAGGCCAAGGAGGTCAAATGGCCATGTTAGCAAAAATGTGTAAAGATGTTCAATAAAAGCTCGGCAAAACCTGCAAACAGGCTAAATGTCACTGAGAGAAGACTGCCTCATACAATGACACATCCCTGAGTAGACATCTAGCAGGACCCTGCGTCTCTACGCCACTTACTTGGGAAATCCCTGCCAGGCCGCGCCAAGTGCCCACTGCCTAAAGGGTGCTGTGCGCATCACCCACAGACAGACAGACGCTCACAGCGATGTCAACGCATGGCTGTGCGTCTCTCTCTTTTTACACATTTCTGTACAGGTGCTTGGGCAGAGAGCCTGGGCTTTGTGAGAGGCGAGCCTGGGAGAGGCTGGAGCGAGGTCCCGTCGGCTTGGCTGTCCCACTGCTCTGAGGAGAGCCGTCCTTCAGATCCTTTCCGACAGCTAAGAAGTCACTGAAGTCACAATTCACAGGAAGCCTTAAAGGAACAAAACAGGAAGGCGGGTTTCCCACAGGGATCCCGGACACCCAAGGGACAGGCAGGAAACCAGAGCAAGAGGAAGGCGTCGACCCTCGGGTGCTCCATGTGACCCTGAGCCCCGAGCTCCTCACCTGGACCATCCCCTTTTCCGGCTCTCAAATTCCACTTCTGCCATTTTTACAAAGCCAGCCTGACCTATTTCACAGTTTCTGTGAGAGTTGGCTGTGTGGCCTCACGAAGCAGTAAGTGACATTGCACTCTGTGGCCGCAGCGGGTACTTCAGAAGCACCTTCCAAATGGTAACGGGACACACGGACGTGGCCCTGCTCTCCCTGCACGGTGCGATCTGCTCCCAATGCCAGGAGAGACTGGTCTGCGCCCGGAGCCCTCGCCCCGCCTGGCACACATGGCCGGGTTGCCGGGCTGGCTCTCACAGGACTGCTGGAGAACAAGGGCCTGGGTCACCCACGGCGGCCTCGCTCCACGAGTGCAGGGAGAGGTGCCAGGCTGTTTCCCACAAAGAAGGCCGGGCCTCCACCTGGCACGAGAGAGAGAGATGGCACAGTGCCAGGCGCTAATAAGTTTTTAACCCACCGAACCCTTTTCTCCTGCACATGGAGACTTAAGTGAAAGTCGCCTTTTAGCTTGGGAATCTCCTCTGCCTCAGGCACTGTAACTGGCTGCGCCTGGGTCTCCAGGTCTTTTAGCAACACCAGCAGTTACGGCTGGACGGGATGCAATCTACAGGCTCCTCTGGCTGAGGTACGGCTGTAATTGTAATTCAACCCCCATCTTCGTGGGGAAAAACCCATCGGCACTGGCCTTTGCTACTTTCAGGAACAACCCTGCAGAGAGTTCTTTTTCCATTAATGATACATATTGTGTCTATATAATTGTACGGTAAGACAGAACTACTCTCTCCACTGTTTCAACAGCATAACGACCACCACCACCACTTACTATTGGCCTGCCCTGTGTCGGACACTGTTTGGGGACCCTTCATACACCCTTCCTCTTGTTCAGAAAATGAGATGTCGGCATCTTGGCTGCGTTTTAAACATGAAACTGAGGCTCAGGAGGTGACAACACTTGGCCAAGGCCTCTCGTGCTCAGAGTGGACTCGGGGTGGGGGCACGGGGGGGCCACAAGTCAGGCGGAGCCAGGACTGACCACTGAACTGGTGGCTGCACGCTACAGGAATGGCGTGTGCCCCTGGGTCACGACCAACCGTACCCCTCGGTGTCCACCGTGGCAGGGGAAGAAGCCAAACCGAGGCGGGAAGGAGCCCGAATCACCTACGATGCACAGCGCACCCAGCCCGTCACACCTCCCCTCTCTCCTAACTGGCACTGTGCTTCCCCGCTGCTCCCCACCTTCCCCTCCTTCCACCCCCATTTATTATTTAGTCCTTTGCACTAAAACACCAACAGACGATGAGACCCGACTCCGGCAAAGGACATACCAGCCTGGAGCCTGGGGTCATTTTGACGTAAACTCTCTACGTGTGGAGGTGCACACAGCTCCTGTTATCTGGTTTCGATGACCAACATCTGTTACAATGACAGCCAAAAGCGACTGAGTCCGACCCGAGAGCATGAGGGCCCCAGTCCCAGGAAAGTCATACGCCAGCAAAGCCCCACAGCGCCCTGCCGTGTCTAAACTTCTGGGCTCACCCTCCAGGAAGGCAGCCAGGGAAAGTGAGGGCTAGAGTAAGGTCACTTTCAACCAACAGCAAAATCTTAGAGTCCAAACTGCAAACATAGTTTCAAGCCTCACATCAAGAATGTGGAGTAAGTAGTCTCCCGGACAAAATAAAAGTTTTTATCCCCATCTCGCCCCATTCCACCCTGGTGGCTGTTCAGTCTGCATTCCACACCAGAGTAAACAGGGGAGAGCTTTCTCTAGCTCCATCTCTGCACGAGGAAGAGGCCTGGGGCGGGAGGCCACGCAGTCAGATGGGCGCAGAAACCGGGTGTGACCTGGGGAGCAGCCTCGGGGCACGAGCAAGGTTCATGTAAAGATGCCAGGAGCCCTGGCTGGTGTGGCTCCGTGGATTGAGCACCGGCCTGCAAACCAAAGGGTCACCAGTTCAATTTCCTGTCAGGGCACATGCCTGGGCTGCGGGGCCAGGTCCTCAGTTGGGAGCACCTGAGGGGCAACCATAATACTGATGTTTCTCTCTCTTTCTCCCTTCATTCCCCTCTCTCTAATAAATTTCATTTATTTATGAAATCTTTAGAAAAAACCCTACCATTAAAAAAGAAAAGATGCCATGGAAACTGTACAGCAGACTGAGCTCTGAGAGTCTCAAAAGACAAGGAAAAAGGGACAAGGAGGGCCACACCCCTGAGCAGGCTCACATATGACTTCACTGGGAAACAGACAGCTTTGCTGCCTTAAATCTTGGGCTTTTCGTCAATTCTGCAGCAGGCAAAATGCCCATTTTGTCACATAATCTTAAAGACCCTCATGGTCCTATCTGTCGAACAGAGGTGACCAAGCGGCTGTGAAAGTCCTGATACGTAGGGAGAATCCAAGGCAACCGACAGACCAGGCAGCGAGGGCTGGAATCAAAACGTCAATGTTTCAAAAAAAAAAAAAAAAGTGTGCATGGTTCATAAACACAGGAAGTGGGCGGGGACAGGGTGGGAGTTCCACGGGCACAGGTGTCAGTGTGGGGAGCTGGAAGAGTCCTGGGGGTGAAGGTGAGAGCGGCTGCCCAGCTCTGTGAAGGTGCCCGATGCCACTGAGCTGGACACCCAGCGCAGTTACTGTGGTCAAGTGTGCGTCGCACGTGTTTTACAATGAAAAACCACATTATTATCTACTGACATTCATATAGGCTCTGGCCCTGAAGCACCAGAGAATCGCATTACTGTCCTCTACCCCATCGAAACCCAACGTAACCCCTGCTATATAAACTGCTGAGTAAAAACGTTCTAGACAATGGCTGGACCGCGCATCACACAATCCCACGGCGCCCCAGAGGTGTCGACCCACCCTCCCCCAGGCTGAGATCCCAGTGCAACATGGACCCGGACAGGACCCACTCCCCAGCGACCTGCGGCCGTCCCCAGTGCTCTCCCAGCACGTGCACACCAGGCACAGCCGAGTGACAGCACAGCCCTTGGCCTGAACCAGAGATAGACACCGGAGGGAAGCGCAGCCTCCCTAGCAGCATGCTCGTCACTCGGGTGCACGCCTTGGCCTGGCCCAGCCGCCCCTGGAGAGCAGGTCGCTAAGTCGGACTGTGAAACAGGTGCTTCCCCGTGAGGTTTCTGAACTCCCGCCGGGAAGAAACGAACACTGGGCAGTACGAGCAGGGCATCGTGGGTACGGACCGTGCAGAAGAGACCAGCAGGACCTGCTGTGTAACCGGAACTGGAGGAGCGTAGCCCTGTCCCTACATCGAAACCCTAGTGGTTTCCTAACATGTAACAACAGGGCTCGGAGGTCGCAGGGCTTGGCCGCCACGCTGGGTGCGAAGTCAGAAGAACCGTCACAATTTTGGCCTTTCCTAGTTAGTATAGGCCCTTGGGCAAATCACATCACCCTCACTGGACCCCAATTTCCTTTTATGAATAAGGGGTACACACACACTATTCACATGTTTTCAGTTCATTCAGGAGTTCTTAGAGGTCAAGCTGTCAGGATTAAATGAAATCCTAAGTGAAAAATAATAAGCAGGACCCGGGACACGCAGCAGGGGCCTAGTGAGGGCCGACGTCCTCTGTCCTCCTCTGAGATGCCATTGCTGAGCACCTCCCAGACATCAGCCACTGCGGGGCCCAGGCAGGATAGAAATGCACGGACACAGTCCTGCTTTCCAGCAGCCCTTCTCCCGGGGAGACACGCCTGGGTGGGCTGCAGAGAAAGCAAACTGCCCGGCGCGGACTCTGCTCCCAGAGAGGAGCGAACGTCTGCTCTCCCGGGCTGAATGGACGGGACCACCACCTGGGACAGAAAGTGGTGAAGGAGCGTGAACACCTGACAGGTGAGGACGCCCAGCCAGGAACAGGGGTGTGAGACGTCCAGCACAAACTCTGAATGCACAAGGTCAAATAAAATACACATTCCTGATGCACATACTTTTCCTCTGAAAAAAATGTGTTTTTTAAATCCCAGAAGAAGCATAATAATAATATCAAAGTTTCAGACTATGGTTCAAATTCAGTTCACCCAGAAAGAGGGTCAAGCCCAGGGCTTTACTGCCCTTGCTCTGCCTGCTAAATCCTCAGAGTTCTTTTTAATCTAAGAACAGATTTCCTGGACCTGTAGCTGCAGGAATTTTGAAAGAAGCACCAGCCTTCTGAGGAGAGGCCACACCCACAGCCTCCCATGCAGTTGTCACCAGCAGGTCCTACACCCTCGGCAGCCTCCTCCATTCCAGAACCGGGCCTTGTCACCTACCCCTGAGACAGGAAGTCAGCCAGGAGTCAATTAGATCCTTGCTGCGAGGTCGGGACTGACTCACCAGCCAAGGCTGCGGGATCTCTGGCAGAGGCATCTGGGGAGGGGCCGGCAGGCTGCTGGGGGTCTCCTGCTTCGGAGCATGGTCTCTCACTTCCACACCTGCAGGCATCAACCAAAACCACAGGCCTGGATGAGCAGGAGGGGACAGCACTGCTACCAGCTGTCACTTCCCCACCCCGTACTGACCCCTCCGCCAATACTCATTGCTTCTACTCCTTCACAACAGTGTGAAAAGTAGGTGTTATTTTTCCCCACTTTGCACGTAAGACTCTACGCCTGGAAAAAAATGGTTAAAGAATCTCAGTGAGCACAAACAGGTAGAAATGTCCGAGCTGGTGGCCAACCCCAAGTCCTTGCAGAGTGCCTCTCCAGGACTCGTAAGTGGCAAGTGCTCAGCTTGCCACTTACCTGGGTGCTAAGAGGGCAGATGCCTTCCCGGGTCAGTAATTTGTGTTACATTCCTTCCTAACCCCAGACACTGTCCCAGATGTACTTTTGGGGGACAGGACTGACACAAGCTCAGACCCCCCCCAGGCACTCACATTCGAGTTGGGAAGGCACGTGTGTACACAACTGACTTAGAAGTCGTGGTGAGCACCACACCAGGGAAGACAGAAAGGAGGAAGAACTAGTCTTTTTTCAGGCACAGTACTGTTTATATGCCAAGAGCTCACCTGGAAAGACCTAGAAAAACAGTCACCTGATGATGATCACCTGTGAAGGGCCAAACATAACCCGACAGGTTAGGGGAAAACGCGGAGAGGTGAAGTCCCCGACCTGCGGGAGCCGCAGCGAGGGCGGAGTGCGGGCGGGCTGCGGGGACAGTGAGAAGGGAAAGGAAAGGAAAGGACGTATGCAGACCAACACTGCTAATGAAAAGACCAGTGGGTGAGGTCTAAGCACATCGAGGGGCCCAGGAGAGAACTGAGGACTTGGAAAACGTCAGCAGGGAACGCAAGGAAACGAAGGGCTGGAGCTCACGGCAGAGGAAGGGAGACAGGGGAGCGGGGGGAGAACTCCTCAGGCAGGAGGCCCTGGCAGGGCTGAGTGAGGGGCACACCGGGGGAGGCACGGCTGCAAGGCCTTGGCGTCTGCGAGTCTGTACGCGTCAGGGTGGTTGGAAATATCTGATACTATCTCGTTCCATCCCGACAGCACGGCTCAGGGGTGGGAGCTCCCATCTGCCCTTCGCAGGGAGGCAGAAACTGAAGTGCGAGGAGATTAAGTCACTTGTGCAAGGGCACAGACTCGGTGACCGGCAGAGGCAGGAATCGAAACCAGTCAGCCCGCATCGCCACTGGCCTTTAAGAAACCACCACCTGTCGAGTGCTGGCGTCGTATCAGGAAGAATATTTGCAATCATCTGAAACGGCGCCAGCCATATGGCTGCGTGGGGCCAGAGCAGACACACGTGAGAGAGTCCAGGCAGGGAAGCCAGAGCAGCCTTGCAGAAGCGGACACGCCACACCTGCCTCCGGAACGCGGTCCTCGTCCGGTGCTCCTCTCAGTGACCGGCCCCCACCCGCGAGGGGCCTCACGTGGCTCCCCTTCAGTGTGCCGCCAGATGCTGCACCCTGAGGTTCAGATGCAAACCTAACTGTTTCAGACCGTGGCTTCATACCCTGAAAACCAAGGAATCTTCTACTCCAAATGGGTAAAGAGGACAGTATGGGAATTGTACCTCAATGACGCTGTTGAAAAGCAATCCTTACATCTGACCCAGCTATCTCCTCCAGCATCTTCCCAAGTTAACATCGGATCCTCCAAGAACTACCCCTGTCCCTCCCACCCCCACCCCCACCCCCGGCCACCCACCAGGGCCGCTCCTTACATGCGGGTGCTCTAGTCTACAATACACTCACCAGGCTCACCTCCACCTGCTCTGCTGTCCTACCTGCTGCCTCTACAAGGGTCACTGGGGAGGATGGCCCTCAGCAGGCAGCTGGGCATGTGGATTTTAGGGGTGTTGCCATCGTCCCTAACTGCTAAGGTTGGTTGACTGCGCTGACCGTTTGTATAAACAGCATGCTTTACGCCAAACACCTGCCACGGTGGTTGACTTTGTGTGAACCTGACTGGGCTGAGGAGTGCACGGGGAACTGGATGAACACTATTGCCAGGTGTGCAGGTGCTTCTGGGAGGTGCTTCTGGAGAAGACAGACAATGGACTTGGTCAGCTAGGCCTGGTCTGAGGAGCCGAGAGCACAGGCAGGCGAAGAGCAGGGTGCTTCCTGTCCAAGTGGAGCCGTCCGTCGCCCCTGGCACTCTGACACTGCTTCTCCAGCTTCTGGCCTCACACCAGGACCTACACCGCCAGCCCCCTGGTTCTCAGGCCTGCAGACTGAGGCGGAGCTCCACGCCGGCTCTTCCGGCTCTCTTCTCGCAGGGAGACCATGGGACTCTCAGCCTCCGTGACCTCATGGGCCATGCCCTAAAGTTAGTCTTGTCTTCTCTCCCTCTCCCTCTCCCTCTCCCTCCCCCATCAGTTCTGTTTCCCTGGAGAACCCTAACAAACCTGCTTCTCTGGGAGTCTGGAATTCTGACAGCACACAGGCCACTGTGTTTCTGCTGCTGAGAGAGGGGTGTGCTCTGGGTGACACTTGGGGACAGCCAGCAAGAAGAGGCTATGCTCAGAGTCCTCCAGACCCTACCTGTGTCTCTCCCTGCACCCCGGCTGTGTACTCCCACAACCGGCAAAATCCCGGGCGTGAGAAAGTACAACCACATGGTGAGTCCTTCCAGTGAAACTCTGAATGCGGGGGTGCCCTTGGGGGATTAAAGATAAAGGCTTTAGCTTTACCGAGACAACACCCGCACATAGTAAGACCTGCAGTGACCACTGGATGACTAAGTAAACACGAAAGTGAGCGAACAGATGGGTGCATTTTAGAAAACGGTGGGACTAAAGAAGGTTCAGAGGCACGGGAGCCTGGGGGAGAGCCTGGGTACGTGCCGGAGCCGCACCTTTGGCCGCCTGGACCCGCAGCAGGATGTCGGTGATGACTGCCTTTTTCTCTCTGACAGTTGACGTTAGATATTCATGGTCCAGAAGTTCCAGAAAGAGACGGAGTTCAACTATTAACTCTTCCATTGCTGAAAACAAAGAAGGAAGGAACTATTAGAGCACTGATATGCAAATGTCAACATCCAAATGCTAAATTTCACTCAAAGCATTTCATTTTCAGCTTAATGAGTGTATAGAGTACTCCAAACATGAAAAACAAGTTCGCTGAAACCAGACCGACGGACAGATCCGCACATCATCTCCAGGCAAACAGCTACCCCTTCACCTCTGCTCGGAGGCAACAGTGCACAGCTGGGAGAGGCTCCAAGGCCACGGTGCCAGCAGATGGAGTCATGACCTCAGAGCCTGACATTGCCACTTGCTGTCAATTGCATGATATTAAATTTCAATGTCAAGAAGGACATGGTAATTTCAAATGCCAAGTAGTTTTCAAATAACCACCAGGATGTGCTTTTGGAAACTCGCACCCGGCCCTTTGCTTTGGTAGGGCCGGCTCCACCCCCAGAACACACGTCTGCTCCTTTTGAACGGTGCTGCTGCCCTCTGGCAGACTCCAAACGCCTCTCCCAGGGTCTGCAAGGCCAAGTCACTTTCATGTGAAGACAGGACCCACCTTCTTCTGCACGAACAGTGCCAGTGCACAGGTGGCTCGCCCGATGCCCTTAGCCACGGCAGTGACACCAGCCACACGGCGGTCACTGTGTCCCCACCATGCACTTGCAGCACGAAAACAAAAACAAACACTGCTCTCACTCGGGAGTGCCTTCAGTAGCTCTGAGGGAGCAGTAAGGGTCACTGCTTCTGTTAAACCTCAACCCCAGAGGACAGGCCTTTCGAACACCCTGGGGTGAGGTGGGCAATGCACGCGCACCATGCACGTGTGTGCAAACCTCAGCAAGGCAGACCGGCTGTCTGGGCGGAAAGCGTGGCTTTCTGGTTTCGCACAGAGCTGCGTGTCAGTGTTGGGAGGATGCACCCAACTTGGTGAGCCACAACGTCACGTGGCCACACTCGGGTGCCAGCCTGCTAACATGCCGTCCAGGCCGACGCACCCTAGCCTCACAGAGTGAAGCACCGGTCTGACGCAGCCTCAGAGTCCTACCCACAGTCGGCTTCCCAGAGACCAGCACGCACTGAGTCCCCGGGCAGTGGCAAGGAACAAGAGTCTTGCTTTCCTGAGGGGGCACCAAGCACTGTTCTCTCCGACACCACATTTGCATGGGGCCAGCCCGTCTCACATGCCTCCTCCCAAACAGGGGCTCCAGCAACCAGGGCCGGGAAGCAAGCAGGAGACCCCGCTCACTTCGATGAGCCGGATCCCGCAGGACACACCTGCAGACACAGTGAACGAAGCACGCACCTGTGGTATCTCCTTTGGTGACACCGCTCCAACTAAGACACAGTTTGTGACACATGGCTGGCCCCAGGGCCAACCTACTTTTTGGGAAACTGCCCTCGTGCCCTACCTTCTTCCTGTCAGTGGTCTCCCATTGGTGCTGCTGCCAGCTCCAGTCCGTCCAGCCACCCTCCCATGCCTCGTGGACCACATTGAGCCTCTTCGGAACAAGTCGGCTTCCCGCCCACGTGGGGTAGCTTCTGGCGCCAGCCCTGGCACTCACTGCTGCTGTCCGAAGATGCGCCCTGACCCTGCACAGCCCCATCCGGGCCCTGTCACCACACCTTGACCACCCCTTTACCAGCTGCCCCCCGTGTCTACCCTTCTACCCTGAGCGCGGGTGCCAGCGCCGCGGCCTGCCTCATCGGTGTCACACAGTGTGTTGTGGTGATGGGTGAATGTGTCCATGTCCTTCACCTGTCAGCAGGCAGCCTGAGCCAGAGACCTCCATCCGTGCGACCTCCTTCTGTCCCCAGCACACCCAGCACAACGCCGGACGGGACACTGCAACACAGCAGACACACTCGGTATGTGCTTGCTGAATTGGCTTGTTTGTTTAAGGGTCTCCTTCAGAGACCAAATTCCTGAGATCTGCTTGGGAAAACCGTTGCAGAAAAAAACACCAGAGGCGGCCCCTCCTAGGAACTACGTCCGCTGTGATATTCTTAGAACAGACACCTCGGCGCAGTGAAAGACAGGCTCTGACGAGCCCCCTGGGCCCGCTCACGCCTGCTCAGGGCCCTCCTGTGCCGAGACTGCGACCCCGGGTAGGCACGCTGAGAAGTGTGCTCAGTCGGGGACACGGAACCTGGGCGGCACAGAAGCACGTAGCCATGCTGAAGCGAGGGGCTAGCTAGCACAGCTTCCCTTATAGGGTCCCAGGTGGGACTCTTCCAGAAACTTCCACAGGCCTCTGCACACAGCCTCAGTGGGCAGCCCGAAGGGCGGGCTGGGAACCCTCGGGGCGGGCGGCATGGTTTCACATGCCGGGCAGTTGGAAAGCCCCCTCAGCTGGACCACACCTAAAATTCCAACAGCCCCCAGGTGACCGTCCCTGACTGAGCGGAGGACTCAGAGTGCATGTCGCCACACCGCTCGGGTCCCAGTACCCTCATCTAGGACACAAGGTGATGACAGCTGTGTGCCCAGAAAGATAAGCCAGGACCTCAGAGACTCGGAGACGGCGTCGGCGCCGGGTTTGTTTGAACGTGAAAAGAGAAAGTCCGGTCTGCGCTCGTCTCCGTCCTGAGTCTGAACAGGGCTCCTGCAAGCTTGCTCGGTTTAGCAGGGCCTCCGGAGCTGAATCTAACCTGTCTGTCCAAGGGAGGGGGCTGTGGGTGCCCATCTGCTCTCAGCCCTGAGAACCTGCCTCTCTGGACTCACTCGGGCCAGCCAGGAGCCCCCAAAGGAGCTGCTGGAAAAACCCGCAAAGCACATTCTTCAGGGACGATGTCATGATTCATTGAAGTTGGACTACCATGTGGATGGGTGACTCAAACCTGAGCAGAAAACACACTTCTATTGTTCGGTAGAAAGCAAAGGATGAACCTCAGATCCACACGTGTGTCTGCTAACGATATGTGTCCCTCATGGCACTGCAGGGGCCAGGTGCCCGAGCCTGAGGCTGATCCCCAGGCTGGCAGCTCTTGCTACAAAGCAAGCTGGCTGCCGACAGATTTAAATGGGGTACTGAGAGCACAGTGTTCTCATCCCATTTCCACGCAGCCAGCTGAACCCCGTGGTGAGTCCCTGAACACCAGACAGGGGTGAGAGGTCGCACTCAGGTCAAAGGTGAGCCCCCGATGCTCCAGGCTTCACTAGGGAGACTGAGACCCGCCCAGGCCCACGAACCACTCTCCATGAAGGGAGAGTCCCAGGAGACTTTCAGAAAAAGTGGCCCTGAAGAATCTCCGTTTTTAAAAGACGATTCTAGGGACTGCGTTAAGGATGAACTGGTGTGGGGAGAGGTTGGAACAGAAAGAGGCAGGCCCAGACAAGAGAATATGAAGAATGAGAGCAATAGGGAGATGGAAAGAAAAATACAAGTTATGCTCTATTTATTGTAAGATATTTTAAATACTTACTTTTTAACAGTACTGCATAAATGTTTGGGTACCTAAGTGTGGGGCATACAAAGATAAGTAAAACAAGCATGATCTCTTACATTCAGGTTAGAGAGACCTGCAAACAGCACAGAAGGGAGGAGGGCGGCTCCGGGAGACAGCTTTGCACTGCAGCTGCCACACAGTTCTCCACGGGGGGAAAGGAAGGCGCAAGGAGATGGGGCGGGGTTTCAGGTGCAGAAACTCCAGCCTCATGGGTTAACTAACATGTCTAGATCGTTCTGCTGCACCCACTGAGGTCTGATGCCCCCTTTCTGTCAGGAGCACAACACCCAGTCATGACCCATGAGACGTCTGACAGCACACACAGCCGCCCGCACAGCTCTGAGGCTGCTTTGCTCCACTTTCAGAATCAAAAAGCTGACAATAAACAAATTTTGAAAGTCTCCCTTTTGCCCTCCATGCCTAAAGCAGTGCTTCCTGACTTCTGGGGGGTGCAGTCCAGTGGGGGTCTGGTGAGAACAAAGACCCTGCTCCGCAGGTCTGGGAGGGGCCCGGGAGCCTGCGTGTCCAAGCAGCTCCCAGGGGACCTCGCTGCGAGCAGACAGGCCCTCAGCCCCACCCCCAAATCTGATGGGGTGTCTCCAACGCCCAGGGAGGCACCCACAGTGCGGCCCCCTAAAGAATCGGGAATGCTGCTATCCACACTCACCCTCTACCTACAATCCTGTGAGCACAGGGTTTCCCACAGAAGCTGGGTCCCCACCCCAGCCCAGCAGCCAGGAGAGGAGAGGCCCCTGAAGACATGCTCCAAACTGTGGGTCTGAGCCCCAGCCCATCCAAAATAAGTCGGTGGCAGTTGGGGTTCACTTCCGTGCATCTGCTTCCCCATGCCCTCCTCCCTCGGCGTCAGGGGCAAACACCAGGCCCGGCCCGAAGACTGTTTCCATCAGTAAAGTTCACTGGACACGGCCACAGCTGCTCATGTGCATCTTGCCCATAGCTGCTCTCAGGACATAGAGCAGAGTAAAGTTGTTGCCACTGAGACCCAAAGCCCAACTATTCACGAAGGGGCCCTTTCTGGAAGAAGCACATTCGCCTCCGCCCAGGGTGTTCAGGGCCAGGAGGGTTCAGAGGCAGGAGCAGCCCTGGTTTAAAGCTGGCCTGGTGAATGATGAAGCCGCAGGGGCCTCAGCTCATGATCAGAGGCCTCTGCTTCTTCATAAATGTCATCCTTTTCCTGCTAAGGGGGCTGGACCTGCATCACCGAAGTCAATGTGAGCATGATCTCTGCTTGAACCCACCGACTCAGAACTGCTCCACGGGAATCTGACCGCCCTCCCTCCCCTTGAGGCCCCAGAGGGGCACAGCCGCACAGCCCCACTGCAGAAGGCTGCCCTGGGCGCCTGAGAGGCTGGGTTCCCACTGTCTGTCTTTCCGAAGAGCCCAGGCCAGGCTCCACCTGCACCAAGTACCCGCTGACAGGCTTCCCCCAGGGATGGGGATGAGAGGCGGCTGTCTGCCTGGTCCTGCTCCTGGCAGACGGAGCCCACTCCTGTGTGTGTGGGAGGGCGGCGGGCACCATGGTGGGGCAACATGTGTCCACGTG